CTTTGCGGAGAAAGACCGAAGCACTTCAACGAAGTGTAAGGTCTTGGGGATCGAATGGCTCACTAACGATGACATATTAGTAGCCAGATGCGACGGGGAACCGCTAAAAAGAGTAACAAAAAGAGCGGTACTACACGTCAACGCATCAGTTTTCGATCCATTAGGCTGGCTCACACCGCTTATGGTGCGAAACAAACACTTCTTCCAACAGCTGTGGCTAAAACCATATGGATGGGACGACTTGCTCTCTGAAGAGGACCAAGAGCAGTGGAAGAAGTTGTGGGGATCCATTGCAGGCTTCACGAAACAGTTACCGAGAAAACTAGGGACGAAGCAAGGAAACTATCAACTAATAGCCTGCAGTGACGCCAGCACCTACGCGTTAGCAGCAGCTGTTTACATTAGGCAAGGAACCGAACAGCACCTGCTGATTGCGAAGTCGAAATTACCTTCGCTAAAGATGCCACATACAATTCCGAAGCTGGAAATCAACGCCTTGACGATAGCAGGAAGGCTGGTGTTATCCACTTTCGAAGAATTGAAGAAAACCATCAACATAAAAACAGTTTATCTCCTATCAGACTCGGAAATAGCCTTGAGTTGGCTGAAGAACGAAAGCCCACAGAAGGCTACAGGAGTCTTAGTAACGAATAGAATCAAAGAAATTAAGAAAATAGCGAAGAAACTAGAGCAGGAAGGTGTAAACACCTATTTCGGCTACATTAACACGAAGATAAATCCAGCAGACTGCGCCACACGAGGTCTCACAGCCGAGGAATTGCAACATCATATATGGTGGGATGGCCCTCCGACCTCGCTTACGGACGAAAATGCCATTCACGAAGGGCTAGAACGATTCCAATTACCCCCTGATCCTGCGGAAGTATTGCAGATCTCGAATGCGAGTCACCCACTCATATAGGTGGAACGATTTAGCTCGCTTCGAAGACTGAAAAGAACCGTAGCGTACGTTGGCATATTCCTGAACAAATTGGCGAAGAACTTACCAGAGGAATTAAAGCAGAAAATCAGAAGAGCCAGCGGAATTCAGGAGGCTACGGATAAACTACAAGGAGCAGATCTAAGGCAAGCAGAAAGGACTATTGTCAAGCTCCACCAGAAAGAACACGAAGCTCTGATAACAGCCAACGAACAACGAAAAGTCAACATTACCAGAGACGACGAAGGTATCTGGAGATGCTTCGGAAGATTAGGCAATAGCTGCCTGCAAGAAGACGCCAAAAACCCCATTTTCATCGCGCCGAACACGCATTTAGCGAAGCTCATAATTAGAGAAGCGCATGGTAAACTCCACTGTGGAGTCGGGTTAACCATGGCGGAGGTCCGAAAGAAATACTGGATACCGAAGTTGAGACAACAGACGAAGAAGGAGATCCAGAGATGCGTACCGTGTCAGAAATTCAACAACTTACCTTTCCGGTACCCACCTTTAGCGGATCTACCTACTAGAAGAGTAGTCAGGTCACGACCCTTTCAAAATATTGGTCTAGACCTGTTCGGACCCATAAAGATACGAAGCAACGAAAACATCGTCTCGAAAGCGTACGGATGTATATTCACATGTGCAACAACCCGCCTAATGCACATTGAGCTCATCCGAGACAACTCGGCGACAGCGTTCATAAACGCCCTACGTCGATTTATGTCACGTCGAGGAGTTCCGGACTCGATCACCTGCGACAACGCCACGAATTTCGCATTAGCAGAGCGAATAACCACGGATTGTCTAAAAAACGACGAAGTGGATCAAGTCATGGCGAATGCGCACATAACATGGAAGAAGATCACGCCGTATGCTCCGTGGCAAGGAGGGTTTTACGAGCGTCTTATAAAAGACGTCAAACAATCGCTCTACAAAACCCTTGGCAGGAGAATCGTCGATGAAGACTCACTCAGGACCGTGCTTGTAGAAATTGAAGGCACCCTGAACAACAGACCGTTGACGTACCAGGAGGAAAATCCGGACGAAATTATCCCTATCAGGCCCATAGACTTCGTACAAAACAGGCTACTCATCACCTACGCAGTCGAAGACGATAGCCTTGGCAATAGGGAGGATCCCAACTTTCTACCTCCTGAGGAAGCTGCCCAGCTCAGGACTCAAAACGAAGCAAAGTCAGCCCTACACGCCTCGCAAATGCTGACGGACGGGTTTTGGAAGCTGTGGAAAGACAGCTATTTGACGTCATTGAGGGAGCAGCATCGAAAACATCTACATCAAGGTCGTAGTTCCCCAAAACTTCCCCGGGTTGGACAAATAGTACTTATACAAGATCCATTTTTATCGATAAATGCTTGGAAAATGGGTTTAATAACGAATTTAGGGACGGAGAATCCAAACCAAATACGCCAAGTCAAGCTCAGAATGTCAAACGGAAGAGTGACGAAGAGACCAGTAAACAGTCTCATACCACTAGAATTACTGGATTCAGATCCCGACCACGAACACCTACCCACTCACGAAAACCCACCTACACCCACCGAACTTCCAAGCGAACCTTCACCTGAAACCCCAGGGCGCCCCAAGCGAAACACCTCCAAACAGTACCCGTACAGCCCCGAAGAGTACGAAATCAATTCCATTAGCACAGACGAAAAATCAGATACACAGTCGAATAAGTCTATTTTCAGAATGGCGAATGATCCGAACGAATTCATCTACAACTTCATGGACACCTTCAACGAACGAAGGTCGATGTTCGAAGAATCGGAGCTTCAGCGAAGACTGGACGTCGTATACGCCGAAATAACGAAGCTTATCCAGCAACGTCAAAAAATCGAAGAAGCATATGCGCAACTCAAGGAGAAGGCCAGCGTTTTCGAACCAGATCCAGCACAAACGAAACCGCTCTACGACTTAAAGAACGAACTTCTCGCTGCAATTGAACACTTGAAGGAAAGATGGGAAAAAGTACAAGTTGTATCCCATCTGTTATGGGAGGTCTACGACAAACTAGTGCAACAGGACGCTCCATATTTCTTCAGCCGCCAAATGTTTGAAAGACGTCCACGACCAGGAGGACGCATCAACTCGAAGGACTTCAATCTCTCCGTCATCACAGAGGAAACCGAACTTTTGCGCGGCAAACAAGGAGCACTCGAAGTCATGGATATCGTGCCTTTCCTCAATCCATACGTGGAAAGAACGCATAACTCGCCCTATGTCTCCGAAGACGTCGACATTCATTCGAAGCTCGACGATATCGAGAAGATCTTGCACACAGCCATCGAAGTGAAGAACAACCCCACTACTTCTCCTGACATCGACTCCATTTTACGCAAGTTACGAAGAATCGAGGCCATGCTTATCGAAGAGAAAGCCAAACGAGTCGAAAACACCGTTCCGCAGCAGCTGCTCCAGATAACAACACTGATTGACGAGAAATCCCGCCTTTTGGAAGGAAAAATCTCGGACAGTACGGAACTTTTAGTGAATTCCATGATAAATCTCATGACCCAAATATCCGACTTACTGCGCACAGACCAGACGTCAGAACACCAACACTCCAATACGCCTTCGGAAACATCTCATAAGACACGAAGGGAGCGATCGCGGCCACCACCCAAGCGCCCCCCCAGAGACCCCGATTTTGCGTTACTACAACGTCGTTTGGATCACTTAGCGCCTTGTGCGAAGCGTCTCTACGGAGAAGAGGCACCTGAACCATCACAACAGCACAGATGCATCTTTTGTCAAGGATTTCACATGGAAGACGCATGCATTGAGTTTCGCTCCGTCGAGGATAGACGAAATTTGGTGAAAGATCGTAACTTATGCATCTTCTGTTTGGGCAAAAGCTGCCCGAAACCGTGTCCCGAAAGAACATCCTGCAACTACTGCAAATCACGGTCCCACCACTACAGCCTCTGCTCGCTTCCTGAGGAAAGAAGCTACCTCGAAGATCAAATGGCACGATACCAACGCTGATGGCCCCCGGGAGTGTGCTGAGGCCGGATTTGATCCCCGGCCTCAGCACCCCCTGCCAATCAATTCGCGCGCCAAAACCCAAGTATTTTAGGCGGCGCACAGTGATCGACTTTGGACCTTCTCAATCGACCATTTCTTCGTCGACCGTGGACTCATACTTTGCTGTCTCCTTATATTGCATAACTCCGAAGTATACTGGTACATATACTCTTTGTTCTCATGATTTACATTCACACTTGCACATATTTTTTGGGTTCATTGGTTCCAGTTTATCATTTGCAACTATTTACTGTTTCCATAGTACTCAATAGTGTTCATGTGTTATTTGTTGTGTTCATTTGCTAATTTTCCTCGTGCACTCAGGTCTTTGTGCCTCATTCTCAACGTGAAGTGGTGCTTATCCGTTTACTGGTATTCATCATGATACTCAAAGTTCGATTAAAGTTGCATTACGCCTCGTATTTTTGTTTCGCATGTTTGCTGTTGTTGAATTAATGGTAAATAAAGGGTTTAATTACCCAAGTTTGAGGTGTGTGTCCACGGCGGTGGCTATCCGCGACTACTTCAAGCCGATCCGTTATTCCTAGTTCTGTTATTCGTTCACAATTCATTCAGCGTTTCCGCCCCAAGCTCAGAAAGACCCGCGTGGCAACGAAGCTCTCAAACATCCGAAGCCCCAGTTCTACGCAGCCGGTGAAAGGTGGGATTTCAGTAACCCTTTCACTTCGTCTTTTTCTCTTCTTTCCGAGTTTTTTTGGTCAATTTTGAGTACGGGGTCCCCCTCGCTCTCCCCCTTTAGTACCCGGGACCCAACTCAGAGGCCTCACAAATCTAAGAACTACGCGTACAAACTATTAGTAATATTATTTGTTTGTCAACTTTTTTTGGTTCGAAAGTCGCTCGTTATGTCGTTTTTGTGGATGTTTTAATAATACTTATGCGTGATGTTTGTTAGCATGTCTGGGATCCGCGTGAGCTGGCCGTTGCAATGAATTGCACACAGTAGAACAAGTAAAATGTTTCTTTTGACAGACTCGGATTTTATCCTTACCCTTTTTCAATAGGCGCAATTCATTCTTTTTCCTCTCATTGCTTAGATTTGTAGGCACTGCTAGGCTTGGTTTCAGTTCCTCCTTCATTTTTTCATATTTGAGCTGTGCCGATGGTTGAGTCTCATCCACATACTCAACACTACGAATCACTAGCGTAGAGGTGGCGAGGGCAAGGTTCTTCTCAAGCTAAACATGCATGCAACACACTATACATGGTTCACAAGCATTACATCTCTACCTTTGGTTCACTCGACGATGTCGAGGGAAGTTGCTTTTCTTCTGCCTCCGCCATTCGAAAGCAACGAGTAGTCCTCGACCTCCTAGAGCGCAGACATTAGTTAAATGATCTTTCAGACACATCATGGCTTTGATAGAAACACAGTAGATAAAGAGATGCAATCGCTCAGCAATAAGGTATTCAATTCCATCTCTGGATTCGCATAGCTCATGTAATCCTTGCGTACATGAACTGTGCGAATCTAAAAAATATCCAAAATCTAAAACCTAAAACTATGTCTTAAGAGCCGGGCATACTTCACGCGATTTCAGTCGCGACGCGATTTGGCAATATTCCAAGTGTCCATAACTCATTGTAAGCACATTTTAAGTGTACAGAAGATAAGGCATTTCATCAATCCACGTAATTTATACACATTATGCATGTGCAGTTTCCTAGTGTTGAATCTGAAGACTTCTGGCGAGTTGGCAAATCGCGTCGCGACTGAAATCGCGTGAAGTATGCCCGGCCCTTTAGCCTTGCGGTCGTTAGCTGCGTGGAAAAAGTCATTAAAAAAATCCTCTTCAACCACTACCAACACCAGCCATTCATCGGCTTGTATTTCAATATGTGCGATTCATCCATCCATATCACTCGTGCCTCTGAGCTGTTGCTGCTATAAGGACAAGTTTCTTGAAGACATGTTTTTGTCACTGTCTGTTTGATCGTTTCTTCCATTAACACGTTTCGGACCGGTGCTGCACATGGTGCAGCACGCGGCTTTGAAGGATCTTTTTAACGTTTACAGGAGGTTTTCATTTGTCCAAGGTTGTCATGTCAAAGGTCCAGCCTACTTTTCAAATAACTCTGTAGAGCTGTGCCGCCGATATTTGTTTAGGGGATATGAGGACAAACCGAACAACAGTTGCAACGAAGCGCGGCAACGCGAACGACGCATGCGACGTCGCAACTTTTCTTTGTTTCAAATTCAATGAGAAACACCGTAGTTTCAATAATCATGTGTATCGTGTACAACATAGATACTTTTGCATACAATTAGAAACTGAGTTCTTTTTTCTATCTTTCAAGAAAGCACAGAAGTAGATACTTCTCAAGCGACAAAATTCAAACACTTCGTATTCATTTAGAACTTTGGGTATCGATCTTATCTGACACGCTGATTACAGATGTAGCACACAGTCTGAGAAGTAAGGTCTCTTTGTTGGCTAACGGCTGAAAGTACTCTCTTTTTCGCCGCGCGCGATTTCGCGGTCCGAAACGTGTTAACTTCTATGGTCTTGTTCAAAACAATTATAAACTACTAGAATATTGTCACATCGCATGGCAAGCGCGCAACTTATACCCGACCCGCAAAACACATTCTTATGCTATGATTTCTCATAAGCATAATAAGTGTCAATTCTGGAACTGCGTGAGAGAACACGAACAAGAATAACTTTTTGGCCGAAGTGATGTGTTCAACATCTGCTCTGCATACATTATTGAGCTGTCATTTGACTCTGGTGCTACTAAAAAAACTTACGCTGCTCTACCAATTACCATTTACTTAGTTCAATAAGGCGCATTTTAGACTCTAAAATTATACTGAACATACGATTATCGTCGCGTCCTCCGTGATTCGGCAAGACTTATCGATCATCTGAGTATGCAATTGAGGTTTATTTAGTTGTCTCATAAGTTTTTTCCATTTCACTTTTTACCGCAATAAGTCGCAAATTTCTCAATTCTGATTAGAATGCCAGGTACCGTTCGATAGAGCAAAGAAGCTCTACAAGATGGCGTGTAAGTTTTCGCACCAGCTTCAGCACATCACGGGTTAGCAGCCGATATCTGAGGACTTTCAAATCCTTGAAAAATTAAAAAATTTCATATCTTTGTCCAGTGAAAACTTAGCAGATCTCATGCATATACAGCGGGTTCATAATTACACTAACACCCATATTCTAGAACTTTCTGGACTTTTTGGAAGAAACTCAAAGAATGTTGATACCGCGCGAAAGAGCACAGCCGAAAACGGTATATGGTCCATAAAAATGGAAATCGATGTTAATCATAGGAGTGTTTTTGCGCCTAATGCGAATTTTTAGCAGTTCATAATTATACGAACACCTCAAACGAAGGTCCACATTTCATTCAAGATTGTAATCTTTCGTGTCCAAATTCTTTTGTAGAGCTAAGGTAACTAAGTCTGAAATATCTGCTACACAATGAACCCACTACAGTTCAAAAAGAGGAGCGTTACTTTTTCCAGATGGTAAATGTTTTTGGAGTCACTGCGCTCCAAAAACGTCTATTCTTCTATAGTGTACGCACTCTAATCAGCTTCTACTAGGGCTAATAAGCTCTTTCGACAGATATTTTGTTTGACGCTTAGAAAATCTCTGCGTTTTCGTGCCGTCCAAAGTTTTCGGGTTTTTTGCAGGACTAGTCTTGAGGCTGTGGAGCTAAAAACCAAATAAAGGTGTGAGCGCAACGGTGAAAACACTGGTTTTGGTGAAATGACACCTGCGTGGCCAAAACAAATGCTCAACGCTACACAATCTTGTGAACTTTACGTACTATGTGCTTACATCATTGTGGGGCTTCAAAAGCAAAGTTTTAAGGCTCGAAATCGTGCTAACTCTACGGTAAGGCTGGAACTTGGCTTAAAAACGGCATGAAAACGCAGAGATTTTCTAAGCGTCAAACAAAATACTTATCGAAATTCAAAAGGCCGCGACGACCAGAAAATGGATAAGTGAAAAAAAAACTGACACGATAAAAAGTGGAGTCAGCGAAAAAGATAGTCAAAGACAAAAAAGCAAAGTGGGATCTCCATTTTTTTTATTCATTCATAGACTCTAGTGATAGTTCGGTAGAATAATTTTTTCCTGTGTATCGCTACACTGTGAAGACAAGAACAAGCACCTTGATGACTCAAGAAATTCGAAATTGTGATGAACCTTCTTCTCTAGGAAGAATTTCGCTGGAAGAATAACACCTTCACCTGCTCAAACGTATAGTAAATACTACAAAACCTAAAAAAAGACTTTTTTAACAATCAAGAGCAAAGACTTTTCTAACAATCAAGAGTAACAACGTTAGTCAAACAGCACGTTCTCTCCAAACAAGACTATGTTCATCCTCTCTTCTCACATAGATATGATGGTTGCAGTCACTTAGGACGAAGCTCAGTGAGGTACAGTCGCACATCCACACCCTTGCACATGCGCTAGTTTCCAGAGCATGCAAGTTCACAAGGGCCGGAGAAAGGCATCCTTACAAATATAGGTTTCCTTAACCTTCAACCGCCAAAATTGCCACAGTTTATTTGAATGTTGTACCTGTTCTGCTGTTTACATAGCTTGCAATAAGTCGACAAAATAAACGTAAACGCTATTGCCTAGCAATCGCTAAGCGAATTCAAATCATTCGTTGTGTATTTGTAATTGATAGAAAAGAAATTTATACTTTCTAAACATAAAAGACCCCTGAGATTTATGCTATCGGTCACAAAAGTACTTGTCAGCAGTCGTGTCGTCAAGGAGGACCTGAAAATAGAAAAGCGTGTTCGCAGAAATAGCAAATAAACGCATAGGAACACTACATATCGTAAATCAAGAAGTAAGCTGTGGATGGTACTATGCCTACGACATCGGTATTACTCACTCGACAAATGATTGTATATCAAACCCATAAAAGCTGCCATCATTATAGATACTTCACATACCTTCTTTCTCTCTCGGAGCAATATTCCTTTGTCGTCAACTCTTGGCGACTTAACGCCATGTCTCACATGATAAGCTGCGTAAGGGTCATTTGGGTAGTGATGCCGTCGCAGCCAGAAGGGTGTCATCATTTTATCAAGCATTTCACACTCTTCCTAGAACATATCACAACTTACTATCCAGTAATTATATTATTTTTTTGAACAATATGTAAATCTAGCGTCACAACTGCATACGCAGAGAATAGCCCATAGCTTCGCGGTATACAGGGTTCCACAGGAATGTATCAGACGTTTGATCGCTGATGCCTCTCTTGTCTGAACAACTTCTGCGAACCTTTGGGCTGCTTATTAAGGGCTGAGTTCAACTTGAATTTGCAGTGCAAATGATCCAGTCATCTCTCTTCATGTAGGCTACGGTAGGTGTCGTTGCAAATCAGCTGCCATTTCGGAAAATTTACAAAATATCTAGAGAGTTGTAAGCGGGGTTTTAGACCGCTGAGCCTACGACTAGGCATGCTTGTGGAGAATTTTTGATAATATAATCAGATTTGTCGTAAGTTCCAAACTAGAAACTGCGGTGAAATGAAAAGCCACCATGTGAAACCAGCAGTGCTTATTGAATTGGAAGCTCCTACCGTAACCCTACAGTAACAAAAGGAATCGGTGATCCGTTACTTTCATAATCTTGGAGACAATAGCAATATGACCCTGTCACATTTTGGTGGTGTAAGGCAACAGACCCGCTAAATGCACTGTAGCCCAAATCTCTCCTGCCAATTCAAGCGCTGAGTCCTGCAACGGCGCTCAAAAATCCACCAATGACCCCCACTTAATGACAGTGGGCGGCTGGTAGAAATCTTAAGCTTGCTTTCAGCAACGGTGCATGGATGGGGTGTGGTTGCTACAGCGTACAGTCGAGTAGATTTCCTGCTTAATATAGTGTCCCTGCAGACGCGACAACGCTGGGACGTCAATAAATGCCTTGCGAGTTCCCGAGCTAGTGTTTTCCAGTGTTTTCTTTGCTTATTCTGTGCTTTTTAGGTGATTCGTTGATGATGAAGAAGAAAAGGGTAAGTTAGAGTGTAGTTTTTGTTTTCTGAGAAGTTCTATCATCGCATATTCACAGATATCCACGTGGAAGCACTTCGCGTCAGCTTCTTGTCTATTTTTTGTCACTTCATGTCTCTTTCTTCTTGTAAGGTACTTCTTTGAACGCTAGTGGGTTTTTACGATTGACTTATTGTCTTTATCACATGAAGTACTTGATTAAAATGCTATTTCTTATGGATGAAAGCCGAAGTTGCTGCAAGACAAGCCAATTAGCGTTCAAAAAAACGCCTCACAAGAAGGAGGAGGAGAAGAAGTGACAGAAGAAAAGGAAATGACAAAAAAATAGACAAGAAGCTGACGCGAAATGCTTCCACGTGGACCTGTGAGTATGCGATGATAGAACTTCTCAGAAAACAGAAACTACTCTTTAACTTACCCTTTTCCTCTTTATCACCAACGAATCAACTAAAAAAGCATGAAATAAACAAAGAAAACACTGGAAAACACTAGCTCGGGAACTCGCAAGGCATTTATTGACGCCCCAGCGCTGTCGCGTCTGCAGGGACACTATATTAAGCAGGAAATCTACTCGACTGTACTTAGGGGTTCGCTATCTAGTACATTGAGATTTGACACTTTCCATTTTGCCTCTTTCAAGTTGAAACCATCTATACCGCATGCTACATGAATTCCGACGAAAGGCTCAAATGAGAGCCATTGGCATACAAAAGTTCGACACATTCTGGAACCCTTATATATGTGCAGCTAATTTGGTTTTATCTACAGTCGAGTAGATTTTCCGCTTAATATAGTGTGCTTGCACAGTTTATGAAATGCGGTAAATTTTGGGCGTGAACAGGTAGCTGCGCCAACACTGCTGGCATTTTGCGCGCGCAATTGGCCGGCATCATAGTCGAAGCTAATTCCTCACGCGCAAATCTTACCGCATTCCACCTTCTATGTAAGCACACTATATTAGGCGGAAAATCTACTCGACTGTAGTACGCAATGTGACCATTGTTCAATACTCACACACTAGAAAAAAACTGCAAAAATGAAGGGTCGAGAAATGATAAACAAAGGATGAGCTGCAAAAAGTTACCTTGGTGCATGTTTCGTAGTATAAACTTGTCTCTTGAAACCTTTCGTTTTTCGCATAGCGCAGTTTGTTCTTCCCAGGATGAGCTCGTATCCACATGCCGTTGCCTAGTCGCTTGAATCTGTGGACAAAAATTTTCAAATAAAACTTGGACAAAATCCTCCATAAGTCTCCAAGAGAAAAGTAGATCAATCTAAAAGTATCACCAAGCTAAGACTTTCAACACTTTCTCAATGTCTGCGACGACTGTGCGGCGAAATTCTCCCTTGATTTCGTTCACTTTACTGTAACAGTTCAGGGTAATCGGTACTATTCCAGTATACCGACCCCAAAAATTAAAAATCTCGATTTCGCTCAAACTCGGTATAGGGGGGGGTTATTCGATCCGCTGATGCCGAATATCATGTCGATTCCGTGCGATAGCGCCATTTTCCGGGGGTTACGGTGGGTATACGGTAGGAGGTCAAAATCACAAAATTCTCTGAAACTTGGTGCAGGGGGTTATTTGACATGCTGAACACGAATATGATATCCATTCGTTACGGTAGCACCTCATTCCGGGGTTACGGTGGGTATACTGTAGGAGGGTCTAATTCATTGCTTTCCACACCCACCGCCGCGCGCGATACACCCTGCGGCGGCTTTTGCCTAAGCAAAGCAGGGGGAGAAAATTTCCGACGTGTGACTGAGATTTCAAGACCTGAATCTCGATCTAGCGGTGGTATTGGTAATGTATACCCAATGTAACGTCGGAATGAGGCACTATCGTAACTAATAAACATCATAATCGTGATCAGCATGTCAAATAACCCCCCTACACGAAGTTTCAGCGGATATCGTGATTTTGACCCCTTACCGTATACCCACCATAACCCCGGAATGAGGAGCTACCGTAACGAATGAACATCGTATTCGTGTTCAGCATGTCGGATAACCCCCTCTTACCGAGTTTCAGAGAATTTTGTGATTTTGACCCCCTACCGTACACCCACCGTAACCTCCGGAAAATGGCGCTATCGTACGGAATCGATATGATATTTGGCATCAGCAGATCGAATAACCCCCCTATACCGAGTTTGAGCGAAATCCGAGATTTTTAATTTTTGGGGTCGGTATACTGGAATAGCGCCGGGTAAGGCAGGGTTCATACTGAGGCGGCACAGTTCCCGCACAGCGCTCGAACTGTGCTCGAACTGTGCCGGAACTGTGCTGCATGCGCAGTTGGAGTATTTTGACCGTTTCTGACGGTTTTCCTTCTAGGTCTCTCATTTCGGGCCTTATTCCTCCACCCCGCTTTTCCTTTTGATGAGTGGAACTCCGAGTGCAAAGCGGGGTTGAGGAAAAAGCGCTGTTCTGCTTTGTGTGTCCGATTATGTGTGTTGTTCCGCTCGTTCATGTCTCTTTGTTTTATCCTTGCATAAAAGTATTCCATCTGTTTTCAGAAGGCACTTCGATATTTTCGCAGGCATTTTTCTTGAAGGAGGGCAAAAATAGTGCAGAAGAGCAGGAAATCCCATCAATTTGTTGGCCACTATTGGGCTCCTAGCCCCTCTTCGTTTTCATTTCATTGTTTTTTCGTTCTTTGTTTTACCCCGCTTCCCTTTTTGTTATGTAGCGCTTCGAACTTGAAGCGGGGTAAAAGAATGAACGCGATTGTGCTTCATGTATCCTCTCAGCCGCATTCTTTTTCCATTTCATTGCTTCTTCGCTCTTTCTTCTACCCCGCTTTAAGTTCGTAGCGCTACACAACAAAAGGAAAAGCGGGGTGGAGGAATAAGGCCCGATTCGAGGGAAACCTAAAAGAAAAACCGTCAGAAACGGTCAAAATACTCCAACTGCGCATGCAGCACAGTTCCGGCACAGTTCGAGCACAGTGCGCTGTGCGGGAACTGTGCCGCTTTGTGCGGCTCAGTATGAACCCTGCCTAAATCTTCAATACTCGAGATATAAAAGGCGCAGGATCTCAATACATGCTCTTTCCAATTTCTGCAGCAATGTCAAAGTACTAGCACATATAGAAGGAAATCAACATGTCAATCGTTGTTGCGTGCAACACTACACAGTTTCGATCGGCTACCGATTCATAACGAACAAGAGCAAAATATCAAAAATCTGAGCACATCCTTTTCAATTTCAAAATTATCACACGCTAGCTCTATTTTTCCCTTTTTGGAACTGGGGAGAACAAACCACAGAAAAAAAAGGCAAAAAAACTCATAGTACTTCACAGAACAGCCACAAGGCGACCACTAACCTGTCAAGAACATCTTGTGCCGGTCGTTTTCGTCCTTCCTTTGGGCTGAACCTGATGTGATATTCATAATGAGGTATGCGAGCTATAGTTCGCGACGACTGCTCCGTTAGGGGGACTATCCTGCTGAGCAAGTTTCGGGATAAAGGTATCATCCTGGAAAAGCTGCACTAACTTGCAAACAACTTCATTCAGAACTGAGTGGCGACAAGGCTAAATGGAGAGTCCGGATCAAATTAAGCTGGTAAATAGTTATTTCAAAGAAACACTTCTTTGATCTTTGATGAAGTGCAACCAGCTCATATACGCATAATGGAAACTCACTGTCACTCGTGCTGAGACGTTGCCAAAATAGCAGCCGCGATTGCACCTGAAATGTGGCATTGACGGCAAAATCCACGATGTCAGTGGTTGCATGACTGCAAATTGCATTCTATTCTTCTCGCGGTTATTTTCGGTTTTTTCAACCTTCGGAAGCAATGTGCCAAGTTTGATTGTCGCAAGTGACTTTTATATTATTAACTCTTTAGATTTCTGCTGTTTTTCGCCTTTTGTTGTACTTTTATCTCAGACTGTTTCCATGTCCAGCCTACCCTCTGGTCGAAAACGAAGACGTTTCCTTGTCATAGTCAATTGGCACAATGCTGCAGAAGTCGATCCGAATTTTTTCTACTTTGTTGTCCACTTACATCAAAAAACTCAGTTCCGATCAAGGAATTTTGACTTCAAAACTCATTCTTCTAGCAAACATTCTCCAAATCCTTCCAAACATTTAACATCCAACAACTTTACACCAGAAGACAAATCCGCTTCTTCTACCGGACCGTAATGTTTTCTGTAATCGCAGAATTTCTATTACCAGCTTTGAAGAGGCAAAGACTTTTCATTTCCTCCTGAGTTCTGCACGATGAGTTTATTGGAAACGGGAAGAGCAGAAGTCCCCGAGGTATAGGCTGTCTGAATGACAGTGTCATAACTCCAGCGCTTCGGGTCGCTGCGGCCTCACTTGGGTCTCGCGCCGCGTCCGTGGACGTGCCCTTGGTAACGTTTGGAGTATGCCTGCCCGGAGCGGCTCGATTCTCGCACGACCACCTCGCTTTGGCTCTGCACCTCCTTTAAAGGCAGTGGACAGGCAGAATGGACCCCTGTCAGATTTTGGTAGTTTAGGGTAGTAGACCCCCCAAGTACATCACAACCCCAAGCCCACCTTCCAATTTATGCGCTAAGTCCTGAAAAAGCGCTTCGAAATTCCACCAATAACGCCCACTCAATGGAAGTGGGCGGGGCTGGTGGAGTTTTGAAGCGCTTTTTCAGGACTTAGCGCATGAATTGGAAGTTGGGCTTGGGGCTATGATGTACTTGGGGGTCTACTACCCGAAACTACCAAAATCTGACAGGGGTCCATTCTGCCTGTCCAATGCCTTGATTGGCGAATGGCTCACTTTTCCCACCCTTGGGCTTAGGTAAATGATTTGATTGACGATTAATTATCAATCTTTTCAAAATTTGCTCCTTTATTTCTTTATTTCGTCTACTTCCATGCGGTCCGATCCATACGGCTTCAATACGCGGCTGAGTGGTGCACTTTTCGTGAACTACGCGAGCTGCACTAAAAATACGCGTGTTTCTACTGGTGATGTGTAAATGCCGCGGAATAGTGTGGTAAAGAATCGAGAATGAGAGGAGAGGTAGGGGGGGGGGAGCGCGAGGTAATAGAAAGTGGGAGTATGATAAGTCGCGACATATATTTCCAGCTGCACATCATTTATCACATTTAATCTATCACATTACATCATCACATCACTCATTTATTTACTTTTTATATCCAGTAGTTGAACCAGTCCTGTTGCACACTCTGAATATCGTAGCTTTCTTGTCCCTGTGCTCGTGCTTGATATTAATATCACAAGGAAGAGTGAATCATGCACTTTCTAGTGGCACCTTTCTATTAGGCCTTCGCAGAGATTTAAACATAAAAAGGAAGCCTCTGGAGGTTCGGCGATTTGCGGCAAGACCGTTTAGAATCCACAAACTATGCAGTAGCTACCAAAAACGCCAGTATCATACGTTTTCTGACGATGTATTTCCGCCATGTTTGTGCTGATCGAGCTTATCTTTGAAAAATTTTGATTTTCGAGCTAATAGCAGAAAACGGGAAATTAATTTTTTTAGCACTTTTCTCGAATTGTAACTTTTCGTAGAAAAAACCAGTTGGCGCAAATTTTAGTTAGAAAGAGAAGGTCAGAAAACGTAGGACACTAACTGTTTTGAATTTTACTGCACAGTTTTCAATTTTCAACGGGATTGCCTCAAATCACTGAACTCGAATGATCTCTTTTTTCTATTTTCACTCTGCAATGAAAACTTAGCAGAAAGTAATTTAATGTCATTGAAAGATAACGATTTTTTTTCAGAAAGGTGCTCCAGAACTGTTCAGTCTAATATTTATGATGCACCGGGCTCCTTTTGAAGCTTCAAACGTACTAAAAGTATTTCATATTTTAGTTTTATCAGAATTCATGTATAGCAAATACGTAGTTCCAAGCTTATGCTCTCGAAAAGATCGGAAACATAGGTGTTGGTGGCGTCCGAGGGGAGGGGGACGGCCCCCCTCCCCCGCCCGAGAATGGGTCGCGAAATTTTTAAAATTTCCTTACATGGGTCATACAAATGTGCAGATGACTTTTTTATTCTTATAAATATTCAAAATTTTGAAAAAATCCAACATAGCCTTGTAGAAGAATTTTTTGGCGGCATGGCTGCCGCCCCCGAGAAATTATTCTACAAGGCTAATTTGAATTCCCTTTTTCTGGATTTTAGGAGTTATAGGCCCGCAAAATTTTGAGAAGCATCTCAATTTTTTTTTCGAAGTGCGTGGCTAACGCCAAGCAATTTATTTGAAAAAATTATTTGCCGCCCCCCCCCCCCCGTACGGAAATTCTGTAACCGCCACTGGTAACTAGTAAGAAATTCGGGGACATTTCATCACTTTCAAAAAAGCCGTGAGGCTCAGCAAATGATAACTGCTGACAGCTGGTAAGCTGAATACTTTGTTATTCCTTATATTTGCGTAGCACAGAAATTTTTGAGTTAGTGACAGCGAAGAAATCGCACCTTTTGCGTTTCCCATGGATGTTTTGGATAGGCATAGAAGGGTACAAGATCTGGCACTGTACAAGGCTTGTTGCCTTTTCTACAGATTTCTGCGAAACTTGGAAAATAAAGACAAAACTGCTTTACTTGCGAAACCGCTCCTAACAATAAGCGTCCAGAAGTTGCGAGCATATGGCTGCCTATCTCACAATATTAAATAGCTCGTATAAATCTTTTTATCCTAAACTGTTTACAAGTCTCTAAAGCTGATTCTAGGTCTGAATCAAATTGAAGATCCAAGTGACGACAAGAGTTTTGTAGAAAACTTTTTTAAGGTCTTGTTTATGTTCTGCTCCTTGTCTTTTTCTCCTGTTTTCGTACACATAGAAACTGTTTTGTTACTTACAGCGAATTGATTTCATCTAGGTAAGGAGACCTATCGTTAGTCCTGCAGAATATGCCTGGAAAGAAAAGCGTCCTCTTCGTGTGCTTAGGTGAGTGTTAGTGAAATCAATTATATGATCTCATTACTGAATAAATTCGTAGTGTCCTCTATTTTCATAAGATCGCTTGAGTCGACAAATTTTAGAGACAGAAAATCATGCAAATCCTAGTAGTTCTCTGGATAAAGATCACCTCTGGCACAACGCTGGGCAGAGCTAACAGGAAAAATCTCAAATTTGTCGTTTTTTTTTCTGAATTTCGGTGTGCTATGTAATCTCAATCAAGTGTTTTGATCTGATTAGGCTACATCATCTGTTTTATTTTTCATTTTAAGAAAAGTTCGTGTGAATTTTTCCTGGCTGTAAAGGTTGACTTTTGTGGATATGAAAGTCAGCACCTAGACCTCGGACAGAGTTCACTCGATTTGATCGTCGCGATTCAATCGCTACAAGACAAGTGTTACGAGTTCATTGCATACCGATCTTCTTGCATTTCGGTTGTGATAGTTTTCCAACACGACTAAGTATCTATGTAACTATCACAACCGAAATACAAGAAGATCATCATGCAATGAACTCGTAACACTTGTCTTGTAGCGATTCAATCGCGATGATCAAATCGCGAAATTCTGCCCGAGGCCTAAAACGTTTCTTCATGTAAAAATATGAATACAGTATACATTGATATTTGAACATTTTCAAGCAAATTGCGTGATTTTTGGTAATAAACGTATGGGTCCTCTAAAAATTACGATCCTACTATGTACTTCCTAGTCAATGAGAGAACTAGCCGAAGTCAAAACTAGCATGGTTCTCTTCATTAACTATCATTTTGATTGCAAATTTCAAACATCAGTTAGTATCAAAATTACTGCAAGTGTCTTTGTCTTGACTAGTGAGTAACGCAATTTTTGAGCAATGAAAATTTTTGATTTTTGAGATCATCTAAACGGTATATATCGAAAGCGAATGCCATGCGCTAATCCATAAAAGTAGAGGCCTATAATTGTTCCTTGTCCTTACTGCATATGATTTAGCAAAATTTATTTCGTTCTAATTTTTATTGCACAAAAGTGCCCTACGGCTAGTCAAAAAGTCTAGGTAATAGACAAGGGAAATAGTGAGAGAATAATTTGAGTTATTAGGTTGATGCATAATTCCTGCACCAAAATAGGTACAGACCGCAATAACTCGGAATAATCCTATATCCCAAGTAGGATTCGATATATCATTTGATAGCGCAAACCTAGCTCTACAAGATAGTGTTCAAATATCTAACCAGCTTTGATCCACGCGATGTTTTGAGCCAAAAACTGAAAAAAACCATGCGTCCAAAAACCTTAAGAAAGATCTTTAAAAAATTGTAACATAGTTCAAAAAGCTCATACAAATTTTCTTTCTTGCTCACGCGTCGACGTTCCATGTAAGACATTTATCTATATGGTTGCTGTATTTTTTTCTCAACTAGGCGATGAAAAAACGAAGTTTTTTGAAGTTTTTCATGTTTTTGCCAAATTAGTGCTGAGATGTTCTAGTATTAACAGTTGTATAGTACATGCCGTTAGCAGTAAAACTTTACATTTTCAGCCTTCTAGAGCTGCTAGTTCGCGAGAAACAACGAATCTAGCTCTCCTTATCCAAATTTTTCTTGCCTAGTTGCTAAAAATCCGATACTTCTCGTAAACCAGCTGCTCTAAAGAGCTGAAAATTCATATACACGCTTCTAAGGTCCTATAGTATACAACTGTCAGTGCTAGAACATCTCAGCATTGTTTTGGAAAAAACATGAAAAACTTCGTTTTCTCATCGTCTAGTTGAGAAAAAAATACAGCAACCGCATAGATAAATGTCTTACGTGGAACGTCTACGCGTGAGCAAGAAAGAAAATCTGTATGAGCTTTTTGAACGAAGTTACAATTTTTTTAAGATCTGTCTTAAGGTTTTCGGACGCATGGTTTTTTTCAGTTTTTGGCTCAAAACATCGCGTGGATCAAAGCTGGTGTAGATATTTGAACACTATCTTGTAGAGCTAGGTTTGCGCTATCAAATGATATATCGAATCCTACTTGGGATATAAGATTATTCCGAGTTATTGCGGTCTGTACCTATTTTGGTGCAGGAATTATGCATCAACCTAATATTTGAGTTTAAAAATTTTTAGGAGTAGGGAATTGAGAATTTTCTAGTCCTAAAAATGATTCGAGCTGATCGAGTAGTTGTTGTACGTTGATAGTTATCTGTTCAGGAAATATATGTAGATCTCCAATCGCTGAAGCGGTATTTCTGGACATCATAAAGAAGCGTGGTATCAGCGATCAGTGAGTATTTAGAATTGACAAATAATAATAATAGTCATGACTTGTGAAGCAGCTTACAGATGGATTGTTGAAAGTGCTGCCGTCATCGATTACCATAACGGTAAACCACCAGATAACCGAGCTATGAAAACACTCGAAAAGTTTGGGATCACCGACTACAAACACAGGGCAAGAGTTGTAGGTTGCTCTGTGTTTTCGATTTTCTGCGAGAGGAGCGTTGTACAAGCGATGTTACAGGCTACGACTTCAGACATACGCGACTTTGACTATATTTTTGGAATGGATGACAGCAATATTAGGTGAGGCTTCGATTTTATTTAGAAAATATCGCCCCAGTCTGTCTCGGTCTTCGCTGAGCATAAGCAACCGGTTATCCTCGATCTCTACCAACATTATAGCAACAATCTGAAGTTGATTTCTGAAATTCTTTGTCCCAGCAACCTCTATGATCTAAATCAAGTTATTGATTTTAAGAAGTTGCAACTGACATAGGCAACTAATATTTGAGTATTCCACAAAATTCGCGAAAGTTCTAATTAAAGGTCTAGAGATAATTACTGATAAGATCTCCATGGAAAGGAATCTTTGCAGTTGTTCTGATAGCTTTTCTACCGTTTTGATTTTTGAGGATGAGGTACTCGATTTGCAAGCAAAGCCAAAATTGCTCAACCTAGTATCAAAGTAGTCGGCAAACTGTGTGCTTTGGCCTCTCTTCTTCTTCTTGTGCGAAGTCATACAGTATTACATCTGTTTTTGTCCCACATACTTGTATTTTCTACAATGCGACCAGTAATAGGCAAATAGCAGGAATCAACTTATTGCAGTGGATTTTATTGAACGCATCTTATGTGTCTGCGATGTCATCCTCATTGCAAGACTTGCCTCTACCTCAGTAATTTTAAATCGAATCACGGCTTTATAATTTACTAGGCTGTTTGAAGTGTACGTTTTTGTAGCCTTTTATGAAATTCTGCCGAAAGTCCAATAGTATTCGTAGTTTGAGGGTAATGCAAAATCGCTCAATCCTATAGTACCTCCGGCAGCAATAAGTGTCCTATACGTGAATCTCTCCACATGTAAATTTGTTTGAGACTAGCCTCACTGTACAGATAGTCAAACTACAATAAGATCATCATAGTTGTGGACAAAATAATTTTATCTGCACGGATACGGACGGCATATGCTACGTTCACGGTTCCATATAATTTTTCGGTCAATTCAAATTTTTTGTAACATATGTGTGTCATAAATCTTGAGATGCCAAAAGTTGAAAAAAGAACGGAATTTTAGGCAGTTTCCATTCCACAAAATGCAATTGCTGCACATTTGTCGTTATACAAACACAAGATCCTCATGTACTACTCATGTTTATAGGGATCTTGAAAGCTTGGCAGAATAGGAACCTGAAGGAAAGGCAAAAATAAGCCTTCTGGGAGAATATGATCCCCAAGGAGAGAAGATCGTTCCTGATCCATTCTATTCCAAAGGAGTCGCTATGTTTGAGCAGGTAAGCTGCTTCTGTCCACAAACATCTCATATGTGCTACTATCCAGGTTTACCATCAGTGTGTCCGCTGCTGTGAAGCATTTTTGGATACTCTTAGTTGATGTAAACCGTCTATATTTTTTGAGTAGCCTTCAGGCTCCTTTGCTTGTTTTATTGAGTAGAAAGGTCATAATAAATGGTTGGTCTCATTTTGTTTTACATGAATTGCGGACGAACGTTTCGTTACAGTTTTTGATTACTGTTTTTGTTTGCCTCCATGATTCTGAAAATTTTATGCATAAAAGTCTCTTATGTTTGCTCACTCTCCCCCGGTTACATTCATATAAGTGAATCCTCAGTGCAGTTTCCCCAAATACAAGTGTTTGATCGCCTCCTTATCTAGCAAGCCCGTATGAACTTGAACTATGAACTCCGCATTTGCAACTTTTTATCCTCGCATTTTTCGGCTTTCGCAGCGCATGTGCTCTTGGGGGAGAATTGGGAGGGGAGGGGCGATCAAAAAGGATGATGGACAATTTTTAAAAAATCTCTGGGGTGCTTCTGGGAATTTTCGCGGGCTGATAACACTGAAAAGTTGGAAAGAGAGAACGTGGCGATAGGGGCCCTCGAAGAATTTTTTTACAAGGCTTGAGATTCAGGGAGCTGTTCTAATTATCAAGAAACAAGTAACATGGCACACTTTTATATGTATATTAGGTTAACGCAAAAGTTCTTTCGCATCACATTGAAAAAATCATAACTTCTTTTTCTCCCAACAAATTTACGCAAACTTAATTTTGCTAGATAGAAGAAACCTTTCTTTTTGTGAGAGTCCTTTGCTGCTCTCTAATAGTATGTAATTTTTCAGATGGAAGCAGGAGAGCAAAACTACTTCATCTTCGGTCATTTGGAGTAGGGTGCTAAAAATCTGAAACTTGTAATAAAATCCGAGTAAGCAGTATAGTAGTCTTTTGAGCCACGTTTCCAACGGTGCAGAGTTTGTGTTAAAAGAGCATCTATGTGAAGACTCATGACTTTTGGGTAAGAATAAAAACAGCAAGTTGATTTTTTGGCCTCTTTTTTGAAAATCATAACTCATTGCAGAAATGCTGTTTTGAAACAAACCCTGCACAGGTGAAATGGGTGGATTTAAAGACTTACTATACAGCTTGCTGAGAATTTCATCGCAAGTTTCGGATTCTTTGCAGCTTAACTCGAAATAGTCGAAGCTGAAGTAGTTTTATTCTCCTGCTTCCATCTCAAAAGCTACACCACATCAGAGAGCAGCAAGAGGATATCTAGCAAAGCCAAATTTGCGCAAACCCGAGCGAGAAGCAGAAGTTATGATTTTTTTAGAAATGACGCGACAGAACCTTTGCATCACCCCAATAATTCAAATGAGCCACTTTCGAAAAATTTACCGCATTGATACCCACAACCACTGTTACAATGTCAAGGATTTCTGGAATTGGTATAGTTTGAGTCTAGTGATTTGAGATAAGGTTTCTTATCTCCGAGCTCCGGCAACAGCAGCGAGGCATCAGCTGCAACCTCTATGTCAGACATTGCCGCTTACCGCGCTTTTTTCTTTACGGGCCAAACTACGAACAACCAAGATGGGAGCAACCTTAATTCTGATCACTAGAAGAATTATGGAGACTCCTCTGACTCCTCCACACAGCACGCATTAACGTTTCCAAAGGTAGATCAACCTATTTTTATACGAAGGATATTTGATCAGAGCTCGATTTGCTCTAGTGTTGCTACAACTGTCGCATGCAGTTTAAACGCCCAGCAAACTGGTATTCGAAAGTTCATCTTAACTATGCCGAAGAATGGGCAGGTTTGCTCAATCGTGAACAGCTGGCTGAATCGTAGTTTTGATTGACTATTAGGAGAATTCGGAGAGCGTGAAAAGTATGAGTGTAGGGGGCTGGAATTTGGCAGAGGGGTGTAATCGAGCATGCTGATCACCCCCGTGGGGGTGATCAGCATGCTCGATTACCCCCCTGTGCCAACTCCCAGCCCTGTAGCTCCAATTTTCCAAAAAATCGATAAAATCGATATCGATCGATGACGAAAAGTAGCCTATGACACCCGCCGGGGCCCAAAGTGTATGTGTGCCAAGTTTGGTCCCGATCGGTTCAGAAATGGAATTTTCTATTCGGAACATACGTACATACATACAGACAGACATACAGACATACAAACAGACATTCAGCTTTATATATAAGATTAAATCTGATTCTAGCACCAAACAGGGAAAATCTCTGAAGTTGTTGAAATCAGGCCTATTGCGGTGATTGAAATTGGAACTTAGTGCGCAAATTATGAATACCTTGAAATTTTGGGATAACTCCGCTAAAAGCATGATTTTCCCGAAAGAATTAATAGTTATTATGCAACTTCAAAAGCATATTGTTCGCTTTGTATGAAACGAAAGTTCTTAATGAGTTTTTTCGACTGATTCATGAAAAGTTTACGGCACGGATCTTACAATTAGTGCAAAAAAAAGGTCCCATGGCAGTGATGTGAAATGCCAAGGCGGCGATCAAAACCATTACCAAGATACCCAGCAAATTTTATACCATCGGAAATAGCTCATCGCTTTCGAATTCGCTACGAAAGCCCTAACGTGAGTTTGAAGAAAATCAAAGAGGAGAATATTAGAAGAGCACTCATGTAGAAGATATGAGGGCTACTCAGGAGTTCGATTGTGATAAGAAAGATGACGATGTATCCAAAAGGGTGACCTCATCTGTCTCAGTTTAGCTATTTATAGCTCGCAATCTTTACTGCCACCAAGTGCTAAAACTGTTCTCAGCCCCATGTCGTCACCAACAAGCTACGTTATGTACCTCATATTGCGTCGTGACTTGATGTCTTCACTCGGCTGGCCACTAGGAGCCGTCTGCACTCAAGCTGCTCATGCAGCATCAGCCGTCATGTGGCTGTACAGGTATTTTTGTAATTTTCGGGATTCCAATACGTTGGGAAATTTCAGAAATGATCCAAATGTTATAGAATACACGAAAGAAATAGATTCAATGCATAAAGTCACATTAGGGGTCTGTTGAGTGCTTTAGTTCATCTTAACCGTTCCTCTGGAAATTTCAAATTTTAGGTGGATTCTGAAGAAGAACTGAGGAAAGTAGAGGAGCGATTAAAAGGCAAGGAGCTGGACTTCAAGGTTATCGCATTTTGCTAGATAAACTGATTTTTTCTGGAAGTAAGCACTTTTGGAGCTTACGAAATATTATTTGAGGAAGTTTAACGAATGTTTTATAATAATCAATAATCAAGTAATAACCTAGACAAGAGCATATTAGCATGAACTTTTGCAGTTCGTTGAATAATTAGACACTGTTAAATTTTCAGACATGGATCGAGGATGGCTTTCCTGTCTGCATTGCACTGAAGCCTTATCCGAAAGATCAAGTGAAGAATGCCGTGAAAGGGCTAAAACTTTTTTGATTATGATCTTCAAAAGCTGTTATGTCCTCCCTTGTTTGTTGCGAATAAACTTTTCTACAGAGTTGGAATGATGATATTAATTGCAACAACTCGCTCACACTATGAATACCTTAGAGCTCGATGGTCGATCAAAAGAACTATGAATACCTCCTAGATCACATGCAATTCTGCTGGCCATTCTTCAAGGCGTCATTAACTTCCATTGTGCTTTGTCGTTAATCTATGAAGTATATTCGAGGAACAGTAAACTGCTGCTGTTTACTACGGGAACATAGATATCAGGCGGAAACTACTTATTCCAAGGAACAACTTCGGAAGTCATTTTATAGGTAGGTAAATGTAAATCAGTGTAGAAAAGAGCAGCAAATCTTCAAAGATGTTTTCTCAAAAATTTTCAAGGAAAGGAGTTTGCGACAAGCTGCACGTCTAGATGCACATATAGCTTCATACCGCTAGTGCTGAACTTGATTTCCTCAATTTTTTTTGATCGCCTTTGCTTCTCGTAGGACGTCACGATCAAAAATCTTAACCAACATTTACTTGGCGAGTCGCTGAAAGAGATCCTTGAATAAATTCGTTTACAGGAGATTTTGTCTTGCGGGTGTGCTAGTTTTACGCTATGTTGAATCCATTGCGCCGATAGCAGAAAATGTCGTGAGCTTTCAGAAGATGCTATCAATAGGGATCAGATTTGAAATCTGACCGCAAAAATCTGTACATAATTCTTTTTGTTGGGAATGATGTGCAGTTTGAAAGTGATATAAAATGGAAAATGTTGTGTGGATTCCGCGTATGCGTATTATTTGTTGGCAAACATGATATTCACCTACCGTCGGGTCGCAATCTTATGTATTTGAAGTTCTGAAACCGCCAAAATTTTTACAGCAAAGTTTTTTTGGTTTTGCTTGTACTCTAAACATTTTAGAGAAAATCGTTTATCGCCAAAGTAGCGTTTTTTCTCAGAAAAAAATATTGGCCAGTGACTTGCTGGCACAAATAACTTTTCGACCGCGTAAGGCGCGATTGGTCCTGATTCATCCTTGATCCGAGCGAGTAAATGACACAGGCTTATTTGCGCTTCTATAGATGGAAAACAGGGTTTTTTTTGGTTCATTTTTGTTCGCCAACCATAAATATTTGAAAAAATATGTCCTTAGAGCTTGTCTGGAGCCTCTCAATTTCTGTACTACTTAATTACTTTCCATACATAGTGATTTGATCAATGAATACAATTTTGCCTAGCCGTAGAAGTATTTAGAACTTTAATCGCAAATTCATCCAAGAAATGAAGAGGAAAGTAATTATATGAGTGCAATTCTGTCAAAAATTTTGTTTACGACGAGCAGTGAAGTAGGAATTATGAGCGGTTTCATAGCAAGCGCATAGAATAGAAATGTCCAAACCGCTTATGTCTGCGTTACGCACTGGGTTAGTACACAAGTTTTGACGTATTTTGGCGATAAGGCAAAAAAATTTTTCCATCTATATGCTTTGCAAGACGTAACGAATGTTCTGTCTTACTCTAAATAATATAGCTTCTGTAAGGAGCAGAACTAGCCGAGTAAAAAATCGAGAATCACAACTATTCGTGAATACATCCGATCAGCATAGCTTCCTCATAGATGAGGAGAGTAAGTCATGAAACACTTTCAAAAATAAAATCAAACTCTGTAGAACTTTTAAGCATTTTTAGCGGCCAATCAAGGAAAACCATTTGGCTGTATGTACTGATGACCTTGTATTCATTAGATTATATATTTTTTTGCTTAAAGCACTCCTGAAAGTGCATGATTTTTTCTTCGCGCTAACTATATTGAGAAAAAGGCAGAATGTTTCAGAAATTTTGGTGCAACGGACTAATGTAAATGTTTCGTAGTGAATTCTTGCAAATTTTCTGCCACGTTACGCAATCACAGTCTTCATTTGGACTACTCAGATGCACCAAACGCTTCCTGGGCTGCTTTTCTGGAGGTAATTTTGCCCTGAAATTCACGAAAACTCCCAATTCTTGCAAGCCATCGTTTAATTGCTAGCACCTGGTCTAGCAGTGCAGATCGATTGAGGTCCCTGATTAATGACCACAAAGTGTATCTACTATCAGTGTGATCCACCTGGAGGAATGCAACCTCCACTTTTCGTCACCTGTATAATTTTTTATGTCTCTCTGTTCTTCATATTTGAAAATGTGAATGCACAATGTAAAGTGAATTTGGTCTATCCCGAGTTGCAGCCAGCACAGGTGATTTTCTTCAAGTAATTGCGACAATTCAAGGAAGACTTCTATTTGCTCCTTATCCAAAGTCTGATTTTAGTACAATGGATCATGGTTCGTCATTGCTCGAAAGGCTCCATCGTCGCGATCTTTTTTACCATCGCACTTGAACTCATCACTCATACGATTGGATGTTGATGGCGATGAAAGACTGAACATGACGGAGTACCACTCAGTGTTAGTATTTGTTTGTACTACCTGTTAACTTACCAAAAGTCGTAATCATATGTCTAATACTCTTTTGATGTGCTGGATTAGGCCCAACCTTTCTGAAGAAAGGAAAGAAAAAGGCTGTAAAAATCAAGGTTTTACTGGTCTTGACATCCAATAATGCTTCATTCTGAGGGGAGTCTTGACTACTCTCACGCTGACTGCTAGTTTCGGATGTTTATATCATTATATTCCAAACAAACAGGCTGAGGTAAGGGTAAAAACTCACACGTTGTAAGATCATGAAAGTTTTTGTCTTTTTACTCGTATTGAAGTGAGTTACACTCGAAACAACTTTGAAAGAAGTACAGTTTTGGTGCGCAGAGGTTGAAGTTCTCATTCCGAGTTCCTTTCAGGGTCGTTTTCTCAAAAATTTAAGTTTTCCCAGTTCAAGCAAAGGAAACTTTCAGTCAATTCCGCTTATCTATTTTATCTTATTAGTTTTAATCGTAAGCGGAGTCGGAAACTCATTGTTATTTTGTTCTTGAAGCAACGGAACGTGCATGCCACCACTCTCTGGTGTTTGGACCAAGAAAGGACTGGGCTATTTCATGGAATTGCGGACGGAGAATGGTCACCTTTACTCAAGTAAGCACTTGGTTTCTACAGACTGGATTGAGTTATATTCATAAATGGACAGTTTTTAGTGGGGTTGCGTGCTATCTATCACGATTACTCTGGTGAACAGAACGAGGAGATGAACATGGTCGTTTATGGCTGCTCACAAGACGACGGCTACGGTTTGTAATAGTCTCTAAACAGTTACTAAAGCACCTTTTCGCCTTTTCGTGCAAGCAGGGGACATGGGACAGACTCCACTGAGCCATTACGCCATTAATTTGATCGAGTATTACTTAAATAGTCTAGACAAGCTTAATTCCTCATTTCCTTCCTAACTATTTGGTGACTGGACTTGAGCTAACTTATTGGGTCTTTTTTGTTTCGTTTTTGTATCTGTTCCTGATTATGTTTCCCAATATTTCATTCTAGTTATGGCACGCCTTGTGCGTAATAAATAAATAAAATAAATAAATAAAGCAAGAGCTTCAAAGATTTGAAATTCTTGGCTTCATTACAACTTGACTGCAAGCTCTCGTTCTTAGAGCAGTGCTAATCATTGGGCCAGACCATATTTGCTTGCAGTCATTTTGCCAATGACTCTATAAGAAACTCGCGCTTGAAATTTTCGTCCAACAATAGTCTTTCTTTCACTTATATGATTTCCAGGAAACTGCATGCCTAATGAGGAACTTGTCATGATTATGAGCAATTCTCGGCATCCGCAAACATTGCAGGTAGAACTTATAAAATTGATCTCAACTGATATTGCTTTCAGCTCTTCAAATCCGCCAAACTCATTGAAGACGCGGCTTGCATCGATATTCTACAGTTCAAGACTCTCGATACATATAGTAAGTTTGAACGCATGTAGTGGCTGTCTGTAGAAAATTAGGAGTCCGTCAATGTAACGAAAATGGGGAAGTCATAGAATAGAGCAGGATTCTGCATGCTAGTAAACCTCTTGTAGTTCACAATAGTGATCAAACCAGTAGCTTTTATGATTGATCAAGCAACTTTACTTTAATTTTCGGTTAATCTTCGCGCGACGAACTATTATGGTTAAAGGCACCGTCTACCCAGGTTCTCGACTTCCATGTTTTGGCCGTTACGGGGCCTTCTCAGGTCACTGATTTCGAATTTGAAGTCGAGAACTCGAGAAACCTTGGACAATGCCCGTTCCGAAGCACTCGCAGGCTGCTTGTCCGCAACGGTGATTGAATGGGCGCGCACGGATGGGCGGGCATTGCCGGAGGGAGCGGTGCCGACTTGATGTCCTCATGTCTCTTCACTTTTCCAAAGCATAATGCACCGCGACTTAAAGGCAGCGGACGGGCAAAATGGACCCCTGTCAGATTTTGGTAGTTTCGGGTAGTGGACCCCCCAAGTACACCGTAGCCCCAACCCCACATTCCAATTCATGCGCTAAGTCCTGAAAAAAGCGCTTCAAAACTCCACCAGCCCCGCCCACTTCCATTGAGTGGGCGTTATTGGTGGAAGTTTGAAGCGCTTTTTTCAGGACTTAGCGCATCAATTGGAAGTTGGGGTTGGGGCTACGGTGTACTTGGGGGGCCCACTACCCGAAACCACCAAAATCTGACAGGGGTCCATTTTGCCTGTTCACTGCCTTTAAGCATTGGCTTAATAGGAGCCCTATCGTGAGCTGCCAAAAGCTCAGGACGCCCATCTAGGGTGGACGGTGCCTTCAAGCATAAGAACTTGGAAGGTCCAAATTTGGGAAGATCTCCCGACTACCATCCTTGTTTTTATGCTTCACATAAAGAACGCAAGCACTTCAAAGTTTCCAACACTTGTTCCATACATGACTGTTGGTTTCTCTTTCAAACTTTGCTCGCTCTGTGCTTATCGGTTGGCAGTCGCATAGTGGAAAAGGCATATGCATGGAAACGCATTTTCTCCTCCCAAGAGATTACAGAATCAGCTGAATTCAAGCGAGGAGACAGTTTGTGGGGAAGAAGAAGTTGGAAACACTAAAAACGCTCTTTCAAGTGCATCCTTTGAGAAACTTCCAACTCATCGTATGCCCTATTAGATAATGCCTTGCTTTAGCTGCTTGCGGTGACGAAGTGGTAGATGAGGATCAAAAGCTTGTTCATGCCAAGATTGATGAAAATAACGAATTTGTGGACGTTGAATGTCAAGTGGAAAACCAAAGAATACAACCGTCTAAAATCAGATCCTTCTTTGTGAGTCTTTTACGTCCATGAGGAACTGAAAGCTGATGCTCATTTCAGGATGAGCCGCGAGTGCTGACAGTAGTGGCTTACATCGACCCATCCTTGGCGAATGAGCAAGTTGCTCATATAAGTTGTGACTACGTTAGTAAGACCTCGGCCACCTGCGAGTGGATACGGTAAGATTACACACATTTGTCACACATCCTACCTTCTGACTCGCAACTACTAGCGACTTCAAGGCTAACTAAGTAGTCATAAGGCTAAATCCATTTTTTGACTTGAAAAACAAAAGATTTTTTGATCTTACAGCAGCTAGACAGCTGTAGGCTCGTAAATTTGACTTAGAAATCAGATTATCTCAAACTTAATGCGTGTTTCTCACCTCTTCTTTCAAAATCTGATTTCAAAGTAAAATTGTTTCCTTCAAGATCTTTTGAGTTACTCAAAACTCCCTTCTTTCGTAAATCTCTTTTCCCCACAAAGAGGCGAAAAAGTAACGCTCGAAAATTTTTCCTCCCACTCTTATGGCCTTGATATGATGAAGAATTTACTTGTTTTAGAATATGCGTAATGATTGAGAAGTTTACTCTACAAATTGCTTCTAAGATAAGATTACCGAAAAATGTTTGCTAAAACTTGGCTTTTCATTGGGGCTGTCTTGCTGTGCAAAAATCATGGCTAGATGTGATTGCAGAAATCTCGTTCACTGCAGTTAAAGTGAACCTGATACAACAGTAACAGAAAAATAGCAGGGTTTTTTTACCTTGTAGAGGCGGAAATTTTTTACTTTCTCTGAAGTGCCGAAAAGAGGTGAGACTTCTCAAATCTTCACGATATTTTCTCCCAGCAACAGTCTCGTGAAACCCAGGCATTCGCTCCACTGCTTAACAGACCGTCGGCTGCACAATGAGCAAAGTCCGAGACAATTTGACACATCTGAGAGTAAATCATGCATTCTCAAACCAAAGGTTCTTAAAAAAATTTTGAGCAATTTTCGGCGCAGAAGATTTTTGGTAATGGCGATTATAATATAAAATATGTATTATAATATATAGTAAAGATTTGCTGTTTGCAATAGTCTTTATTGGATTCGATAAATTCCAGAAGAAAAACTACTGCGTTTCAAACTTGTAAAAAACATAAAGCCTAGTATGAAGTTCTCACTGTAGGGCCGGGCGTACTTAATGCGATTTCAGTCGCGACGCGATTTGGCAATTCGCCAGAAATCTTCAGATCCAACACTAGCAAACTGCACATGCATAGTGTGTATAACTTATGTGGATTGATAAAATGCCCTGTCCTCTGTATATTTAGAATGCGCTTATAGTGAGTTATGGACAGTTGGAATATTTCCAAACTGAAATCGCGTGAAGTATGCCCGGCTCTTTTGCCAACGTTGTTTGCGTGGAAACAAATGCCATGCTCGTAAATGCCGATAACTTGTGATTTAGGCTTAGGAAGTGGCCATGGAGCGCACATTGCCACTGTTGATAAATGTTGTCGTGAGTGCAACAAATTCTATATACGTACAGGCACAACAAATGCTTCAAAACAGTGCTCAAGCAAGGCTTCTACGGTCCATCTGCGCTGCGTATCAGCTCCAATTATACTCGTCTTGATGGCAATGAAACCACTATAGACTGTGAGTTCTCTAAGAAAATAGTGAATTTGCTGCAAAAATAAGTTTAGGGTCTGGTAATGTGATTTGGGAGAATGGTGACGAATACATTTCTACCCACTGTCTTACAATCGGTCATGACGGAGCCTGCGACTCTTGGAGGTAAAGGAATTTTCAAATGAGTGTGAAAAACTTTGCCTTGATTATCAATTGGGGACCATAGATAAGTTCGATTTCTTATGTAAGCACTTTAATGATCTTGGAAGAACGTGGTAAGGGATAAAATTCTCCAAATTTCTTATTGCTAGTAATCGGAAACCAAGTAATTTAGAGCGTACGTGTGGTCCGACGAAGATCACATGGATCAACCGACAATCCACGAGATCTACCGACAACTGCAGGCCTATTGCATTGACCCAACAGACCTTGTTTTTCTCAACACCTTCCGTAAGAGTATGCACTTGTGAAAATGTGCCAGCTGAGATGTTTGGCACACTTTCAACTCTCTCTTCTCCACTTTTCGCGCTGATCTGTCACATTTCACAGACGAATGCTTGAGCGATTCTGCTGCAGTGCAACCAACTAATCAGTGCGGTCCAGTAGAAGGATGGAGTCCACTAAACACAGAGATGCTTCAAGGCGTTTGGTGAGCAGATGCAGTTTCCATAGGTCGTATTTTTGAGCAAATGGGGCAGCTTGGCTACAACACTTGAGAACTAAAATTTCAAAAGCCTTTTTACAGCATTTTCAAGCTATTTTGGAGAATTTTCAGTGCTTTAGGTACTTCGCTGCCGACCTGAATGCGGATCCGAAAATATTTCTGCAATCTGCCGTCATCTCACTAACTCCGAATGAGACCAAGTGAGTCTGTCGAATAAAAAGCCTTATGAGACATTATAGCCAAGGAGACTCTAAGGAAAATGCTCATCAAGAGTTATGAGCGCTCTAGGTACTTCATGAAGAGGTCTTATAGACCTTGAACCATTTCTGATTTGCTTCTTTTCTTATAACTGCTTTTGGTATGAAGAGGTCTCTTACTCTTGCCCTTTCCGTCCCTCTGCATCATCAATTTACAGGTAAGGAACCTAGAAATTTTATGCGTGTACAATATTTCAAAACAAAACCTATTCTTTCACCAGTGAGATTGAACATAAGATATCGAAGAAGCATGAAAAAATAAGAGACATTTTGTTCATTACACTAGAGATGAGAAAAGTTCATATATGTTGAACTGCTGATGGCTTCGCGCGGTTTCTCCAAGTGATTTGAATCGTAAAGATATCCATTATCGCACACATTTCCAATGTCAAGCAAACTAACTGTAAGCAAAAGTTGAACTTTAGCGATAGATTGATTCTGCAATTACCATATTCGTCCTATCACGTAATTCGAGACCAAAATCCTCTGTAACTGAGACACTTTTCCATTTCGCCTATTTATATTGAATTTTTCAATCCAACATATTACACGATTCGAGTATAAACCAGTGGCGTACCGAGGGGGGGGGGGGGGAGGAATGTATTGAAGCGACTTAATTTTACTTGTAAATAATTATTTTTAAAAAAATTTTAAAAGTTTAAATTAGCCTTGTAAAAAAATTTTTTCCCCCTTTTTCCGAAATTTCGGGGTCAGAGGCCCGAGAAAATTTTGGGAAGCATCCCAAAAAAATTTTTTTGAAAAAATCCACGCCACCTTCATTGGAAAATTTTTTTGTCTCCCCCCCCCCCCTCTCCGAGCCGAAACCTGGGTACGCCACTGGTATAAAACTACCACAACAATCGACTATTTCTACTGGTTTGGTTCACATAACACATGTTTTCTTTGTAAAGACAATGCTTTCATCACTTGGAAGCGGAGCTTAGCAGTATCAAGGGGAAAATAGAAAGGGACAAGTCAAAGTGGAAAAATCCGAAATTTTCACTTTTAGTCCGTCAAAAATGCATCTTCGTTACTATGCTCAAAAGGAGGCCGACAGCGAATGCGTAGGTCCCGGCGAAGGCGAGGCTGATCTTATGGATAACGCTACCCTGGACGTCAACATAGAATATCGATACACCCTCGTGCCCAAATTTCGGAACACGATGAGATGTTGATCTGCTTCGATAGCGTACGCTACACCGTATAGCTACCGTAATTTCAGTCAAATACCAAGTCCTCTACGTCGACAATCAGCGTGCTATCCTTTATTGGTGCTATCGGCGTTCCACAAACGGCATTTGTACTCAGCACGACATAAACTTCATGGTCAGGTAATGCAGACTTTGGCATGCAATAACGCCAGCCAGGAGACGATAAGAGGAACAGAGGTACAACTTCAAGTGACTATTTCAGAGCCCGACACATCTCACATAACGATTTGTCACTGATTTTACCATATTTGGAAAAAGTCTGTATTGAAAAGGATAACCTGCGCTGGTTTGACCTTCATGGTACGTTGCTAGCAGTATATATACTTGAATAACAGTGGCGTGCCGAGGGCGGAGGGCCACCCCTCTTGTTTCGCGAAATCATAAATTCAGCTAGCCGTGAACAATTTTTTCGAGAACGTAGCTGATGCGACGCCCCCTCAAAAATTTCGAGCCATGGGTTTACAAATAGGTGTCCCAATAAATTTTTCAAAGTGCATGGCTATGGCCGACCTTCCCCACGTACAGAATTCCTGGGACTCACTGCTGGATAACCACAGAACAGCGCACAACTAGCTGTGATCACGCTTTGAAAAATTTAAAATCCCTTTGCGCAAAATTCCTCATTTAAAAATTACGGTGTTACCTCATCTTGTGCTTTAAAGTCCTAGGGGGCCACGTGCACTTAGCAAAACATCTATAGTTTTTTTCCATGGCGACTTTCACCGCACGTTGACCATACTTCCAGCTCAATGTGGAAGCGAGATGTCTGCCTCGACCAAATTACGACGTGATTTGGTCACACTTTCGCATTACGACGTTCTGCACATCCTCACGAATGTTCAAGAGCCCAAATGTCTTGCTCATGAGGTCAAAGGAGTACGCGCTGATCTCGCTGCGGTAAGTAAGTTACGCAAGAATTTGAGAAAGAGACTCAATGAAAAAAGGTGAATGTGGACTTAAATCGTACTTTGCAACAAAGATGAGATGATACCTTTGAGCTATAAGCCTTTCTAGAGCACCACTCCCTGATTACTACAACTCCCCTCAAATTCAACAGATCCGTGAGAAGCTCGATCATTATGCACTACATACAAAGACTGAATTACGTCTAGCAATTTCTGGCCTTCGTTCTTTGCCTACAATGCGGCAACCATTGCTTGAACTAAATAGAACCTCCCTAGAAACGATTTGTAAATCACTTTATCACCTCCTTTTTAGAGTGATTTGAAGGAACAAGAGCAGGATTGAAAGTGGAACTCAGTAGCTCAAACGCCGTTTCTTTGTCCAAAATGCATATCGGCCTCATATAAAACTGTATTAAAGGTTTTCAATCAGTTTTTCCACCCAAAAAAACGAGATACCCACGATTGTCTGCACGCTGCCCTCAGTATATGTTGATTATCTCTTTGGTGAATTGTAACTGTGCCCAGATATTCAGGAATGGCTATGGATTCGCAAGGATAAAAATTTGTTTTACATTTAGAATAGGGTTTTTTTAAAATTTTGTACCAGACGTTTGATCTCTATCAACCTTCTTGAATGAGCTTTGGCCTTTTTTCAAACACCGCAGTGTAGAGCTGGCTTCAACTGAAATTAGATTAGCAGTATAGAGTGGATCACCCGATCGCTTCTCATTGCTATAGGATAACTGTAGAGACTTTTAACTTAAAGCATGCTTCATTGTGGATTAGCGGTATCATAGAAAATTTTACAAAATATTTGCTGAACTTTTCAGATGGTGTCTTTACAGTTTCAAGGAGCATTTTGAAATCAGCTATTGAGGTTTGCTTTGTTAACATATGAAGTACGCGATAAAGTGCAAAGTCCATATTTAATAAAATAACTCTGATCAGTCTTTTCTTTCTTATGCGAACTAGAGCCCTCAATGACTCAACCTTCCTCTTTACAATTAATCTTACAATAGCAACCGGTGGTTTACTCCACACTGTAAATCTAAGTTGAAGCCAGCTCTAAGACACGCAATTTGAAGGCTTTCCATACAAAAAAGTCGTTCGAGATGAAATAACACATTCAAAACATATTTTGAGACACTTGTATTTAAATTCACCGGTTGCTCTTCGCAAGCGGAACTTCTTCAAGTGCTTTTTCTGCAATAAATTAGGCTTTGCTTATGGGACATATGGAAGTAAATCAAGCAATTTTTTATAGATCGAAAAAGCGGGGACTTGGTTCTTGATGGCACGATTTGACGAAATGGCTTTGGACACCTACGCCATGGTGATGCGCATTACAGTCGTATCTCCCACTTCTGCCGTTCTGAGACTGTTTCAAGCAGCGTAATCCATTTTTTTGAATTTTTAACAAAAAAGGATGTCCAGGACTGAAGTCTGAACTATTTTTTGTTAGAATGTTAGACTACTCAGCGGCTTGAATTTGTCATATCGGTACAGATTGCAAGATCTAGGTGTTTTGAGTTGAGTTGTTGTCTGAGTTTTTTGTGGATACTGGTTGGGTGGTCTTGATTAGCTCATCGCCGAAGCTGCAGCTTATACCAACCACTTTTGGCAGAGAAATCATTTTTTCCAACATGGACCTGTTTTTCGTCGTTACCGTGCTTGAAGACGCTGATTGGTCCATTATAAAAAAATACGGTCTCGGCTATAAAGATTGAATTTCTGGATCGCGTATATCATATAAGCTGCCGCTTGACCATCCTTATCTAAATGTCAGTTGTATGAAACACGCAAACCCAGATCTTACTGGGCACTGCTTTTGAGCAAATATAGTGTGATTGTGATCTCAGGGCTCTTCCTGGCGAACCCTTGGAATGCTTTACAAGAGTTTTTACTGTGAAGGAAATACAGAACGAGACTGATTATTTCTACGAACTGCACTTCGAGGCATCGACGAAGAATTCCACCACCAGTGAGCTTAATTTCTATCATTGCATATATCAACTTCATCATTTCAGTGGTCTTCCGCTTCCTGTTCTTCAATCGTCATGTTGGTGTACTGTACTCGTGTTTGAGTATTTCACAAGATGGCAAATGCGATGAGCGTGCCATCTACGTGGTTTCTCGCCACGAAACCATCGACCATTCCGAGCTGATCGTCCTCGAAAAGGTCGCCAAAGCGGTGTGCGTTGATCCGCATGTGCTCTACCACACTGCAGCATTCGGTGAGCGCTTCATTGAGGTAATTAAAGCTGCAAAACTTGGTAACTCACCCTTCAATCCGGTACTAGTCAATATGAAAAGTTGCAAATGCTTTCGAAACCGCATCGAAAACAATTTGCAGATTTTTGGGCTTTTGTCAACTGTTTAGCTGTGCCGCCGCTTCGCTGTGACAATCTGAATTAGTACCAAATTATCGCAGCTTCACATGCACATAATTTCTCTCTCTACCAACCGTTGTGATCAGTGATCGAAAAATTCTCTCAACAATTCAATGATTTCCAATATCAAGTGCGAAAATTTTACAGCAAGTTGTTTTGCCCTCATAAAATCGTCGGTAAGTATGGGGGTTACAACATGTAATGATTTTTTTTCCTCAAAATATTCTATCATGACGGCTGATACGCCCGTAGCTTATGGACAGTCTTAATGATCAGATAAATGCGAATCGCGCGGATCGAAGTCTTCTAATACAAACCAAGCTTCGGATGCGACCAGTCAGCACCATGTTTATAGCATCCAGTGGCGTACCGAGGGGGGGGGGGGGGCGACCCCGAGAACGGGTCGATTTTTGAAAGTTACTTGCATGAGTTATAAAATTGTGCAAATGACTGGACGTGGCTGACGTCACGTCCCCTTTTTTGAAATTGCGGAATATGAGGCCGGCAAAATTTCAGAAAGCATACCAAAATGTTTATCGAAGTGCGTATTTCTGTCGTCCCCCCCCCTCCCGAGCCGAAATCCTGGGTACGCCACTGATAGCATCGTATTCTATTTTGGGATAACAATTTACTGCTGCCACGAGACTGTGTTATTCCTCAGGCTACCTCGTATCTTATCGTTAGAGCAGTATATGAGCCTATGTATAAGGTTGTGGAGGAAGGCTTGCCATTTTTGCCATTTAAAATGACTTGTGGCACCTTCTATCGAATGCTAAATGACCACAAAATTTCGGCGATTTCTTCCCGATCAGCTATCAGAAATATCCGTGTCCCCTTGAAAGTTATACAGGGTGTCCCAAAAAAATGTGAACACTGTTTGATCGTTGATAACTCCCTTGCTTTCATGTCTTTCGTCGAGATTGAGCTACTATTTTGTAGAGCGAGGTTTAACTTAATTTGCCGTGTGGAGCGAATCATCGATCGCTCTTCATTACTGTAGGATTACGATAGAAACTTTGGCAAGGATTTTAATCCGTCGGAGGCCATATTCTGGCTCGGAACAAAACCAAACAAGCCAAAAACTCTTATTCTATGGTAATTGAAGCCGCTGATTTCGAGTATGAAATTTCCATTTTCCTGTGATGCTTCTTTGCAAAATTATACCAGGTAGATCGTAATAAGTGAATTCCCAGCATTCGTCGGGAATGGAATTATACTGTCAGAAAAGGCGAGAACACTCGTAAAAAGTTGTGTATTGGAATCAGCGTGCGCGAAAATCCCAGTATTCGATTTTTCAGATTTTTTGAAACAAATTTTGTCATATCTCTCATAATGGTTTCACATGCTGGAAGTTCTCACCGTAATCCTACAGTAAAGAATATCGATTGGTGATTCGCCCCATACTACAGTAGATCTAAGTTGAACCTCGTTCTACAGAATGGTGCCACAAGCTCGGCGAAAGATATGAAAGCAAGGGAGTTATTAACGATCAAACAGTGTTCACATTTTTTTGGGACACCCTGTAGATCTCATGCAATGACTCATGAGCAAATTGAATAACTGCAAAGTTTTGAGCTGTCGTGAAAAAGCTGACTGCTTGTCCTCTGCGAAAGTTTCGTCGTATATTAAGTGCAACTCAGCAGATAATGTAAAAATGATGGAAAAGGATGATATAGCATAGCATGCACTGCAATCATCAATAACGTAGGCTGAGGTGGGGATGTATGCGTGCCATTCGAGAATGCTTTTTCTACTGAGCGCCAATTATGATCATCTGCCTAACTGTTGTCCTAAGGAAGAATTTAAGCTGGCATTTGCTAGCGCTGACATATCTCATAGCACTTCTCATTTTACGATAAATTCTGAGTATATTTCCAATTGGGCGCAAAGATGTAATTGCTTGTCGATTCCTCAATTGCGTTTTAGTGGCTGATTTGCTTGCATTTTGCAATCCACTGCGCTCGTTTGATCTGCAGAGAAACCTGAATTTTCTCGACTCTGTGGCATTTGCGTTCACCAAATATCAAAAAGGTTAACATTTGCTTTCTGAGGCAAAATATACTCCCATGATGGTACGGTACTGGTACTGTAATAGCCCGATATGGTCTGATTGCAAGTGAGATTATGGAAACCGTGCATACGGTGTGGTGCGATTTCGCAATCGAATACGCTGTGTATACGGTAAGGGAGCAGTTTTGGTGAATTTGAGCTGGAATTTTGCAGTTTAGTTTTCATATCCGTCCAAAATTACACATCTTTACTGCGATTTGTACATGTTTCGACTCTTTTATGACTAGCGTGAGAAGTCCACTAACCCTTGTTCCCCTACTCTTTGACTTGCGATTTCTCTCACAAGACAACCTCCTTTGCTTTGAAAGCGCTGGTGAATGCAATTTGCGGCGTAGAACATTTGATGTGGCGGCTGCTCTCGTTAGCACTCGCAGCTCACATCCGTATTAGGTCAATCCAGAGGCAGCGACTCGAGAAAAGTCAAGTGCTGCGATACGTTAATGAGAGTGAAGAAGAGGATTGGAAGCCATTCTAGCCTTAAGCGCCAACGAGAGTCACCCGTTTGTCTCAGCAATGTGATAAATGCTTTTCATGAAGGTGGAGCATCCGGGCAAAATAGGCCTGCCTAAAACGTTGATAAGATTTCGTGGGTCCGCCCTCATTTATGGAAAAAAAACCTAAGTCTCCTTAAAAAATGCGAACTAAGTTTGAAGTATGGCCCGAATGCGGCTCCCCTAACATCTACCCGCTTCCGTCGTTCCTGCGCAGACGAGCATTCAAGCTGCGTGTACAATGGAGCACTCTTCCGCTCTCTTTGCGGTCCTAAAAACGGGCTTTCGGGGTTTTTACGCAATTTTGCATTTCGAATTTAATATCAGAGCCATGGAGAGGCTCGGAAACGAGGTAAAAACATAGAAGCCGAAAATCTGCTTGACGTTGCTCCGCATGCTAATTGCAGCACTTTTGCAAAGACATATAAACAATGAATATATTCACTAAACAAAAACAAGTTCTTGTTTGAAAAATGATTATCGTTACTCCCCCCCCCCCCTCCCCCCATTTTTCGATGAAAAAGTGGAGCAAACTCGCTTTGAACTAAGTCTAGAGAATGAAAGCCACGAGAAGTACACTTCAATTGTCTCATATGTTTTCATGGAGATGGTCAGCTGCCTTGAAGATTATTGTACTTACATTGGTCCAAGACCGCTGCACTCCATGAAACCTTCCCTTTAACAGATAACAAAAGCAAATATTGATTTATACACATCATACGCTAAGTATATTGGCATTAGTCCATTGTTTTGAATTCAACTTGAAAAACTCTTCTAAAAACTCTTTTATTCTTTGCACCTACTCACGATTATTCTGAACAGACAAAATAACACTGTATAACTCAATCAAAGTGTGAAATTCTCGTTGTTTGCCATAGCCTAGCTCCCAAGCGCACCCTTGATTTAGATTACTTCTTGAAGACGAACTTCCACTAAACGCTGGTAGGTCTGACGGTAATTACAACGCGCTTGCTGCCGACATTTGCTGACGAAATTTCATAAAGGATTTACAAGAGGGCGCAGAACTCTAGAATGTGCGCTGGTGCACGCGCAAATTGCTGGCAGCTTGGGCGGTAGCGACACGCGCAAGTGTTGTCGGCAAATGTTAGTACCGTAAAGACACTATATTTGACATTAGATCTTATAGCCTGTATGTGAGCCATTACCAAAAGAGAGCGACTTACATCTCTTTCTACGACTTTGCAAACATTTATCGCATGCACAGATTGGGTGGTGTTGTGTCCGATCGAGATAGTTCGTCATAGGGAGAGACAGGAGACGGCTCGAGGAATGAAAGTGCGTTTGATCTGAGAAACGCCGACAGCGTCCGTAGTAACGGCCCGCTCTGCGTGCGATGAATCGGCTATACGTACGAAATCCCCGTTGGTTTTACAAAAGCAGGATCAAGCTTTTCATGTAACTGTCACTCCCATTCTGGCCAAATTCATTCCGGATTGCCTTTTGCTATTGGTTTGAACATATTTTCTGTTGACTGATTTATTGATGAAAGAAACGCGGCACAGTGATAAATAGACTCTCGATAAATTGCGCGGTACAGTCATAGAGCAAGGCACGAACACGTATAACTGTGAAGATCACATATAAAAGGCACTTGAACGCTCATTTTGGACAGAAGATTTAGGTGAGCTCAGCTCAAAAGGAAATTTTGCTCAAGAAAGGCAGAAAAGGGCGCAAGATGGCGTGGAGTTGGTAGAAAGTAGAAGTTCGATGATGATGAATCCATTCAGATGACTGCGTCTACGACCATTCACTGTTGAAACCGCCGCCATGTAGCGCCATCGAAGCGAAGTCGTCGGTCGCGGAGTGGGAGCACCTAAATGAGGAGCAAATCAAGGTTTGTGCTTTGGGGCTGAGACATCACTCTAGGAAAGAGTCATTTATTCAAAAATGTGGTTATATTCCTATTTCACTCCTCCTTCCCTCATGTACTATGCATTTTTTCGTTTCTCTCGTTCTACAAACGAATCTTTGTGTGACGATGCTTGTACAGGACAGTGTGCAAAAAAGTTTGGTGGAAGAGAGGGTAGGTTCACGTCCCGGCATATCAGTGGCGTACCCAGGATTTCCGCTCGGGGGGGGGCGACAAAAAATTTTTTCGAATCAAGGTGCGTGGCGTTAGCCACACACTCAGAAAAATTTTAAATTTTTGATTTAAAAAAATTTCCGGGGTGCTTCTCAAAATTTTTGCGGGTCTCCAACCCCTAAAATCTGGAAAAAGGGGGCGTGGTGTCAGCCACGCCCCCGAAAAAAATTTTTTTACAAGGCTAATTTGAATTTTTAAAAATTTTTAACAAGTCATTTGCACATTTTTATAACCCAAGGGTCTCTTCACTTCTTAATAGTCTACACACATTATTAACGAAGTATCTTGTTTTTATTTTCTGTTAAAAGCAAGTTTGTAAATTTTTAACGAATTAAGCTGTGCTTAGAGACATTTTTCGGTTTTGTTACAGATTCCAAGAAATTTTGAAAGCTTCTTACTGTGAGCTATCTTCAGTTTTCAAATAGCACTGCATTTCTACATTTGCAGAAAAATCCCCTTGCTGGCCTCCCACAAAAAAATTTTTTGCGATCGTCACCAGACTAGTAATCCCTCAAATTGTCCTGTTCCCTGGTGTCCCTTTCCTGCCTTATGTGTCTTGCAGAGCCTAAACTGAGAAATCCGATCCCTAACTTCACATTTACATTTCACATTATTTGATTGACCACTACAAGGGAATTTCTCAAGATTGCCTTAGAAGCTAACGTTACAATTTTCCAGCTTAACTATGGTACTTTTACATACTATGCGGTAGCTTCAAGTGATATTTTCGCCAATCCTTTTGCTCTGCGATTCAATGGAAGGACTTTCGAGAAGATTACTGAAGGGTAAGTAGCTCTTAGATTTGCGCAAAATTTTTTTCAAATTCTAAAACAAACATGCAGCTTGAAAAGAGTTAGCTTACTTTGTAAGACATGGCTGAAAAAATTGAAAATGTAAGGTTTTTCAGCCCCACATATTTCTCATTTCTCAATTCCCTCTTGGTCAATAAAAATACTAGCTAGGATTCACGTAACACTATTTGTCTTTGTTTTTGCCATCAACTATGGGCACATCAGGGCGAGGAGCCCAATTGTGCCGACAATGCAAATCAGCTGCCTTATCGACGAGATTCGCTCTGAAAACAACAATAAAAAGCCACTGCCTTGATTAGCCGGATCTTTGCTCTGCCAGCGGGACCTGAATGGGCAAAACATGGGCCATGCGTCTTTTTTAGGGTTCTCAGCCCCGACTTGTTCCAAACACCCGTCAACAGCTATGCGTTGCATTTATGAGTAGCATGTCAAGCATGCTTGTGTAATCATCAACGAGTTCTAGTGCTCTTTCGGGGTTGGAGCTGTCCACTAACGGCCTTCGGGTCTTGCCATTGCTGGCAGGAATATTTATAGCCTTTCCCGAGGTGCACATTGAAAGCTAAATGGAGAAAAATGGAAAGAAAGCTTTTTAGACAAATTTATCGCTTGAACTTTCAGCGTTAAGTCACTGCAAGCTTTACGAAAAGCAAATCAGATTCTGTTGTTAAACAAAGAAGAAGGGGAAATCTGACAGAGTGAGAACGTCGTCCCAGGCAAACACCTAAGCTTCTATATTATGGTGCATTTTTCTTCAGGAAAATCTGAGTACCCAGACTTCCTTATTCATTAAAAGACGTCAACTGATTACTGCCCAACGGAGCGGGGTTCACATAATTAATTCGTGGCTGATTGTGAGTAATTTTACTATATTTCCCAACCCAGGCCAAAGCTGCGAGTGAACCAGTCAGTGTCCTTGAGTACGGTAGAAAGCATGGTCTGGGCGAGGAGGTTTAGAGCCAAAATTTTCGGCCACAAATGAAGTAAATGTTTGTCGCTGGGGCAGTAGCTTAGTAAAGGCTTTCTTGAACAGTTTTTCTATAAAAATTCAGGTACCTTACTTGTCTCGGCCCTGATCTAATGAGTATATGATTCCAATGTTTTCAACTGTGTAAAAAATGAGTTGAACTTTTGCTTTCAAGGTTATCAATGGAAGTAGATTAGCATTTAGTAGTTGAGATTACTTCTGACGACCACCTTTTGTGCGCCATCAGAGAAACACCTGCACTAATCCTATAGCGAGTACGATCATTAAATTACAGTTGATATATTCAACAAAGTTTCAAATTAATGGGACTAATGAATTTTTGGTACATCAAATGTCCAGTAACAAATTCCCCGTTCTATATTATTCACAAAATCTAGTAGATTAACTAATCGTACGAGTGTTCCAGAGCTAATTTTCTGGTTGCTAGGCTGCTAATCTATCCGAACAATAACGAAACCCCAAAGCGTTACGGAAAAAGCTGTATTATGACTTCTCAAAGCTCTTATAATAAGAGTTCTTTGTGTTTCTGAGTAGAAACCTAAAAAAAGGAAATCAAGCCTTGCCGTGTGGTTTATCAAATGTATTATGCCTTTGTTAGAAGTTATAGCAAACTAAAGTTGAGTCTGATATATTTTCTGACTCTGAAACTAAATATACATGCTGAAGAAGCCTGAAAAGTGGCACTTGATTGATTTACACGTTTTCCTCTCTCTCTCTTTGAGTGACAAAAAACGCAAACTCCGCCATCGCTGAACAGAAAACCTCGATTGTAATACTCCGCTTTTCGCAAGAACTATCAAAGAACCAACATAATCTTCGGTGTGTAATCCATCTACTTTGCAAACCTCCCATGGACTTTACTGTAATACGCTCTAAAAGCTTCAAAGCCAAAGTGAGTGAATATAAAACCATCCATTGAAGTAGATGAAGGGCTGAACTAACTCTGTTGAAAAAGAACAAAATCCTTTACTTTGCGAGAATGCTTCTCAGCTCACGCATAATTCCTTAGCACTCAGCGGCGCAATTAATGCATATTGGTTTGTGGAGAGCAAGTTTCGTGTGTAGGCAAATGCAGATTTATGCAGATTCTATGCGAAAAACCGCTGCCAAGAGCGGATTTGATTTGCTGCGCGGCTTCCTTCCACAAAATGGAAGTGGATAAAGAGCACATAGAAAATAAAAACTGAAAGGATAAGCCTATAAGCAATTGACATCAGGGCTCGGCCCAGCTGGCACTGCGTCAAGCTGGATATCGTTTTTGAAAAAAAAGCAAAGGGGATTTCGTATTTGTGGCCAAAAAGACACGAAAATTGCGAATTTTTATTAGTCGACGTTTCGTTTCGTTGAGGGTTTTTACTTCTAGGATTTAGGTTCATAGGGGACTTCGTAAAATTTTGCGAAACACAGGGAGGTTTCGTTTTGGAATTTCACTGGTGCCAACTCCTGCCGTGCCCTGATTGACACTGATTGAGGTATAAAGTCAAAAGCTATGCTTTTTTTTGCTTGAATGCATTATAGGAAAGAATCAGAATGATAAGGGAGTTTTAAGGCGTGAGCTTTTAAGTAAAATTATACGGACTCATAACGTCGTGAATGCTCAAACGTTTGTAAATGTTCTGTTATGCTTGGAAGCTACAAAGTAAGCACATAGGAGTCCTTTTTTTTACTTTTGGCGAGGAAATTCATCTATGTTCATGCTAATGTACAAAAGTACTACAAACGATGTAACAAAAAAATCTCTGTGGAAAGGCAGAGGCTGAAATCTGTCTTCAAAATTTTTTCTAGAAGACAAAGATTTTTCGAAAAAATTTAAGGATTCCAAGGCTTAAGCCTCAAAGACTTATCAAAAACGAAGTCAAATCACTTGAATACCAGTATCATTGAATGTATCATCAACAGATTTATCAAAGCTTGTAGTTCGTTTCCATCTTGCAAAATCCTTCTCGTAGCACTTATTTCCTTCTATTACAGCAGCCTACTTAGCAACGAATCTCCGCAACAGGGTTGTCGACTAAATTCTGCAAAATCCCCTAACTGTGTTAATGATAGTCACATCAACTGCCAAAGTCTCTTTCAGGACGGTTAGCATACAATTCCAAATTTACATACTTTCTAGGGCATCTGGCTGCAAGTCCTCGCCTGTTGACATTGAATTCTCGGCACGGAATCGACTGCTGGTTCGTGTGGGCAACGAAATAGCACTTCTGCATCCGGCTGCTTCGAGATCCGAATTGTTTCTGAAGGTGAGACATTTGGAGATTTAGTGGGCCAGATGCGTGGAGCTTTTCAGTGAATTGGGAGAACTTGATAAATCACACTTAATTTGCCTTTTATGCATTATCTGACAAAACTTGTTTCTGCATTTTTTTCGTCTTATCTGTGGAAAAGGGTTTTCCTTATATTTTTAGGAAGCGCAAATGACAGGCTCCTTACCTTGTTTACATCCAATCCAGCCTCGCAATAGTACATGTAACCAACTGTACGCTCCTTACTGTGAAGGAGCAACCTCCTTGAAAGTTGCTGAGCAGGTGAGGTGGTGGTTTTGGCGAAACAGTGAGACAGTGTATTCTGTTCAGTTGCATGGCGAATGGGTGCTTTATGCGGCCGATCCGAGGTACGTACTGAACTGGAAATGCGAGGTGAAGCCGTACGGTAGCGACCAGCACGAGTTCTCATGTCATAGCGAAGGGTAAGAGTACGAGTTACTCGGTACGAGTTCGCTCTTTCGCTCTAGAATTCCCTTCAATTTAGATGGTTCGGAGAATGCGAACGCGACACGATCGCCGTGCTAACGGTGGATGCTTGGGGCGGATTCCGCTTCTCGACACCGTCTCCGATTCATGTGCCTTCCGAACTCATGTCTTCTGGCAACATCTCCGTGACTTCCGACAGAATGATACTGATGAGCGATGGCGATTTGGTAGGTAGACGCTATAGCGTTTGGGTGCGACCAAACTACGAAGCCGAGCAGACACTAGTGGACGAGTTATCGCGTTTCTGCATCTGGCCTCTACCATCGCAAACATGCACACGAGAATCGAATTGCTAGCACAAATGACAGTAGTAGTTGAATGCAACCACCTGTAATGTACCTATACGAACTTCTGCAATAAATATTTTTATTGTGCAATTCTGCGTAAAAACTAACCAGTACGGTAGCTGCTCCCACAGTGAGCGGCACGACAACGAGAAGAACAGTAAGAAGAGAGCTGACTGTGACTGGACCTTGCTCGGGTGGAAAACCTTAAACATTCGACATGAAGCAAAAGATAATTGTGTTCAATTTTTTACATCAACTTTTACCAGAATATTATTTATTAACTATGTAGGCGGCTGAACCGTTTTTTGTGAGGGGGAGGGAGTGGGAGGGAAGGTTGTGCAAGACGAGCTTACTAATAAAGAATAGTGCCTACATCATCTTGCATAAAATATCTTTGAAGTAAATCAAATTGGGTAAGCCTTTTTTCTCGAATTTCTTCGAGCCTCAACGTTCGTGCTTCATTGAAGTTGCTTTCACCATACAAGGACTCAAAAAAATAGTAGCATGGTCTCCATCACAATCTCGCTAACATCACAAATCTTATGATACATCGTTGTTAGCACCTATGTACTTGATTAATCTCATTATGTTTCAAACCACTTTTGAAACCTCCACTATCTGTCTGAGAAGAAGGGAAAGTTGTTACTTTGATGGAACCTTCATAAAGTTTCCTGCTCAGAATCAATAAGCATATACTCAATACTGCGTTATTTTTATAAAGTTTCGTTGAGTGCTTCAAATTCTGGCTATAATGCTCAACTAGTGAAATAAAAGAGGAATGGACATAGCCTAAAAAGGGTACTTTCCCATAACTGAGCATTTGAACTTTCTCTATCTGAATAGCGCAAGAACTGCTAAATGATATGCATCATTCAATTATCGTAGGTTTCGTACAGATGCCATTCATAATTTCTTTTCATACAGAGCTATAATATTTCGCAGTTCTTTCGCCAGACTTTGGCATCGCGCTTTGTCTTTTGAGATCAGCACATGTGGCGCAAGAAAATTGGCAGCATCGTAGTGACGGAACGAATGCAGCTTTCACTCACAGCTTGACAATTGAAATTACGAACGCTTGGAAATGGCATCCGCAGAAGAGAAAAGACGAATGCATGATGTGTAGTCACTCCAATTAACTGGGAAAAGGCAATGCATATCCAGTATCTAGTATTAGTAGCCGGTATCCCCTCCCCTCGAAAATGGAAATTGCAAAATGTTTTGAAAGTGGTCCGTGTAACATCGCGCAAGTCTCGTACTCACAAACTCTTAAAAAATCACATTAGAATGATAAATGATTTTTTGGCATGAAAATAACAATCTTGCAGCCACGGGAACATCCTTAACACACGCTGACACGATGTAGACACCGGTGGCCCACGCACTTTTTGCTGCCAGGGACGACGTAGACCATCGGTGGTCCACATTTCTTACAAAGTCAGCTGATTTGTAGATCTGATATTTTACCCACATATCAATATTTATTCCAGTTTTTTTGCATTTTTGGGGCCTGTAGGCTCCGTCGTTCAAGAAAATGTTCATGATTGTTTACAAAACAACCTTGCATTTCTTAAATAACCACAAACATAAACCGAAAGTGTTGTGCAAAATCGCGCCGTCGCACAGCGCCGCCACGCAAAATTAGGCGTCGTCGTCAATGGGTTAATATTTTTTGAGTACGTGGCTTCAATCAGAAACTTTTTTGCCCAGTTCCCTTCTTTTGGAAAAAAAAAAGAAAAACCTCTGGGACCGATTAGTACGCAGCACTTACATTAATCGCTCGCTTTTAACTAACACTAAAAAATCTTACTGACTATTTATTTAAGGATGCAAGGTTTTTTTGCTTGCAATGCCGAGCTCAAGCACGTCTCGAAGCTCGTAATTACTATAGAAAAACATTGACGTTAAAGCATCGAATGTCCAATTACAGAGTTGCCATTTACTAAGCAAAACTCAAAGTATCGGCGTTTGCATAGAGGAAAAGTTAACAATTGCCTTGCAAGATTTAAGTAATTATGCAAATGAACTTTTTGTACAATAAAGTATGTAAATTTGTGAATTCTAACCGAAAACGAGAGAAAGAAGACTAGACTCAGATAAATGCGTTCATATATGCAGCAAATAGCATAAATATGAGAGAAGATTTTGCGTGTAATAACGAGTATAATCGATCAAATTTAGTCAATCATGTGTGTAATCACACAATGTGAGTGTGCACACTAGGCATGCACTTTCTTTAGTGGTCCTATCCAAAAGCATAAAAGTAGTATTGAGTGATATTTTGCTAAATCAACATGGATCTGGCAGAAAAGAAATTTTCAGTATTCAACAAGATTATGCGCATTTTTTGCGCTAGAAGCATAGTCAAATCATTTTTTACTTGATAATATCTATGAAATTTTTTACTTGATTTGTGTCGATGTTTTATTGTTCATGTTGTTGAATTTGACATTGGATAATGCCTATGAATAAATGAAAAGAAATGAAATATGTGCACTGCACACTATGCATGGGATTCCGGGTGTTGTTGATATGAGTTGACAGCCTTTCGGTAAATTCTTTTCTTTCCTTACATGTGTTGAACCCTTTTTTTTTTCAACAAATTTTTCCATCACAACGTTATAATGCCTACAAAGGAGTCAAGGGTGTTTGGCGTAAAAAATCACACAAGTTTTGTTGAACCTCCATCAAGCTCTTAGATATGGACTTCGAATTATTACTTATCTCATCTCAATTAGCTTCCATACTCTGATACCGGTATTTACAGAACAAACGCACGAAAAATCATTTTTAAGTATTAGGTAATAGAAAAGAAGAGGCGCAATAGATAAGGACGGACATGATTCTTCGAAATTAGTATCTTGGATCTATTTTTAGATGTCTCTGGTGTCGTCAAAAAATGATTGCTGTAAGTTTGTTAAGGCTAATTCACCCTTAAATCCAAAAACGCCAGCCAGTGCCCTTCAACTCTCGCATTTTGCAGCATTCCATTGCCACAACTCATAGGCCATCAATCTCCATCCGTTTCTTGCCCGACCCTTTCACTAGCCTCAGATTTCAAGACTTCCCGAGAGCGCAAGGCAAAACCTCGTATAGGAAACAAGATTCGTCATAGGGCCACGTCATCGCCAAAAATTGTCGGTACTCCACTCTTCAGAATCGATTCTCACTTTAGTTTCTGGCAGAAGCTGCACACGGCCAGACTAACGACACTACGCGACCGGTGTAAGACTCACAACGGGGATTAGTTTTTGCAATGCGTGACAGCAGGTCACTCGTCAAAAGCAATATGGAAAAATTCTGAGGTAATGGTGATTGATTTTAGAAACATGAGTCAACATTTCTACCACTGGCTACTATAAATAAATTTGCACGAAAAAGAAAGTCTACGGAACGAGAAGCATAGCAAAATGAACCTGACTTAGGTCTGAACACAGATAAAACGTAAACATTAAAAAGCATTTTCTGCATTAGAAATCCTGTAAAATTACTCTAATCCATTTTTGATGCCTCTATAAACTTTTCAGAACCAAGAATATAAGCATGCCAAGAGCCCCTGACACTTCTTTTTGACATTCATTTCCTGCTATAAACCATTTAGTCAATTCCTCGCTGATTCCAGCTTTTTCTTATGATTTATGGAGATTTCGTCTTAAATTTGTGCTATTTTGCAGAACAGACTTTTAATTGTGCCTAGTGGGAGCTTATACTCGAACGAATTACATCTTTCAGATTACTGTTCCAAAAAAATACCCGAGAAGTTGTGGAGAGAAATTGAAAATTCGTAGTAAGTTGCGCATGAAAAATGAAGGTTATGGACGTTTACTAATAGGGTTCGTTCATTCATAATTCTCAATGCATTTAGAAACGTTTTCTAACAATTGTAGCTAGCAAAAAGTTTCGTTAAACTTCGATTAAGATTTAATGTTTGAAGAAGGGCGAAATCAAGAATAAACTTAAAACTTAGCTTCCTTGTGCGGAATTTCTTGCTCAAAATAATTCATACTGCTGCAAAGCTCTCAAAATCATGGGCAAAGAAACGTGTGCAATTCGAGTGTGTGCTTCTGACTTTTCTTTTCTCAAAGCATCATTGAAAGTTATCAATTTCGCTGTCCAATCTGATTACAAGGGTGAATTTTCAACTCGAATTTCAAAATATTCGGTATACTCATGCCTCAAGTATTCGCCATGTTCAGGGCTCGGCACCGTGGCACCAGGTTTCAAAACGAAGTCCTTCTTGAAATTTGCTAATTTTTACGAAGTCCCCCAGACCAAAGTCCCTGAAAACCCGTAAAAAAACGAAACGTCGACTAAAAAAAACGTCGCAATTTGTCGACAAAAACGATATCCCCCTTGCTTTTTGACTTAAAAACGATATCCAGCTTGTCCCGTGCCAGCTGGTGCCAGCCCCTGGCCATGTTTCTTGGATAATTTCCTAAAGCATACATCATCCTGCTCGTTTAACAAATTTCGCAGACCCGCAGTGCAATCTATGTAAGCAAAATCTCATATTTTTACTCTAATGAGAGATCGTCTGCCTGCTAATGAGAGCCATTCAGAACTACGGACTTATATGTCGCATATGAGAAACAGAATCTGAATGTTTGTTAGTTTTTCATACATGATACGTCTGCTTCTCACCAGCACTTACAAGGTGAACACTATGACAAGCTGCGGTTATTTTTGTGCGAGCATGGCTGTTGCAAGTTCTTTAGTTGCTCGAGCAGAAAATGTCATTTCGTTAAGAGGTGGCGATATGTTTTTCTGTGCGTATAGCAGTAAGAGCGATAGATTAAGTTAGAGAATGTGACGCGGTTGACTGAATGCCTTGCCATTTTACTAAGGATGCAAACAAAGAAGGAGCTTTTTTGAGCAATTAAGGGATTTGCTCAGAAAACACTTATAGCGAAGCAATCTACCGTAATTCGAAAGTTTTTTCATGGAGGGATTATCACTAACGGGAAAAAACTGAGTTGTCAAGTCATTTGTAATTTAGTGCTTGAGCCTGCACAATACATGCGGCAAGTGACGACACTCTTACTAATAAATCCCTAGCAATACATATTCTGGCTTAAAAAGCGGTAGAAATGAATCCTAGTAACTAATATCTAGTCAGACCAAAGCAGACAAGAAAACAAGAGGAAGCCACTTCGACTGAGGAAGTTTTATTCTTACAAGTCTTCAAGTGACGCGCATGGTGTGCACTACGCTTGTTATGCTGAAAACTTGTGAACGTGTTTTAAAGAAAGAGGTTAGATCCGGAGAAAGGGGACTGGCAGAACTAACTGTATTTCTTTTTGGAAATAATTTGCTTTATATGCGGAGGAGAATGCTGAGAAGTACTCTCAACAACTGAAGGCATCAAAAGTAAGAAAAGAGATAAAGAGTGAGAATACAGATGTAAACTTTGCATCCACGTTCTATGAATTTAAGAAAAAAAATTTATATTTACATCTACCGAGATCTCCTTAATTAAGCGTTTCAAAAATAAAACGGATACTTTGATTTTTCATAAAGCTCTTTTGGAAGGAACAATGAAAATTTAGCTCATCCAATTTGGAGAGGAGATCTTTTCCATTTTTATTTCGCGTATATGAGTACAACATGCAAGTTTGTGGGAGAGAGGACGTTGGGAGGGGGGGGGGGGGGAGTGAGAGAGTGATGAAATAACATACTCGAATTTGAATTCGTCCCCACCGCCAACGCCATAATTTGTCAAGCAGTACGATCAAAAGCTTTCAGACTAAAGTTTATCCTCATCTTCGCGATAGTTTCCCATGTGTTTGTAATTTCTCAGTTCTAATCCCCAATGTTTACTTCGTAAACTCACCATCGTCGGGCCTGTCCACTCGTTCAAAGACCAGCGGAACATCGTCGGGAGGGTGGGTTTCGCGACGCTGACTGAAAAACGAATTCTTGTTCTGCAATGCTTGCAAGCCGCTTGTGTCTGCTGAAGTCAGCTAATTATGGAGCCGAAAACACAATCAGCAGCAGCGTGCTCAGCTGAGCTTCGACCTCTTTCAGCTGACCTTGTATGCGATCGAAGGTAGGAGAACGTATTGCAGAACGGCTGATCACAAGCGCACAAATCGGTCCAACGGTCGTCTTCGTCCCTGAACACGAGCTGTTGACGAGGTAATGGCATTTTACTTGCTACACACAGGACCAAAACTGGCTGTCGTTCGGTTTACGAACGAGAATAACAACGAAAACAAAACAAAAGCTCGACGATGGACGAGAGATGGATATTTTGTTTATCGCTTTGGAGCTCGAGCTTTTAGCTGCGCGATGCTTGACTGCTTCGTTTACGCATGCTGATGAGTCTATTAGGGCTTTTGACTAGCTGCTCACTTCATTTGGGAGTTGGAAGCTCAGAAGAGGATGGAGCGAACTACGATACGGACACTCGAGACGAACTCACGCTGGGAGGCAAAGACCAGCCAGCGCACGAAAAGAAAAAGAAACGAAAAGAAGAATAGTTTGGTCTAATCCAGTCTTCGTAAAACTCTAGTGCGCATTTTGAGAATAAGATATTATTTGGAAATCAAGAAATCACTTTGATATGAAAATTAGAACCAAATCAAAAAATTCTTGGACTCTCATTATTTTCATTTGCAACTTTTTATCAAAGCGTAAAGGAGTAGGGACTAAGGGTTACTTTATGAATTGATTTTTCCATGACTCTTGAAATAATTACGCAAAAGTAGATCTCACTTCTGAAACAAACTACGCTGGATATATCGCCAAAGACAGTTTCTCATAAACAATTAGGTAATCAGAAAATCTAGAGCCAAAAAATGCAAAATGTATTTCGATCTCTTACTTGTCTTATAAATAATCGAGGTTTTTATTGATCCCAGAACGTTATTAAAGGCGGTCTGGGAAATGCTGATATGAATACAAGATTGATATCGAGGTCAGAAATGAAAACTCACCAGTTGTTTTTATAGCGGTAGAGGTTTCTCCTTAAATTTATGATGTTGGAAAGAATCTGAGGCTGAGAGATGAATCACTAATCATAGAAAGTAGGGGGAATTTGTAAAATATATGTTGTGTAGCGAAAATAGCTGTTTTTGATGTGCAGTTGCACACCTTGCTGATCGCAGATGTTAGATTTGACGACTTTTGAATTTCCCTTCGTTTTCCTTCACTTGCTTTTCAAGCAGAAATTTGTCCAGAAGGGCGGGAGTGAACGATCATATTTCATCTACGATGAGTACAACAGTTGTATTGGCCAGAAGACATTATTACACTGCCGGGCTCCGCATGCGCAGACAACTGGCATGAGCTGCAACGTGAAAAATGCCTGACTTGTGCAGGATGCCTGCCCAGTAGGAGCCTACCCGCGGTGGAATGGCCTCTACCCGTATCATTTTTTACGAATTACTACAAGTGTGCAAATGCACTTTTGACGCATAGTACGAGAATGACTCAATTATAGTGCTTTATTTGCTCGCTGCGCTATTTCAATGCATTGTCTACGCCGATTCCGGAAGTCGCGGACGCTCTGCGCCAGTTTTTCGGGGCTTTACTCTCGCATTCAGCACAAGGGTACAAGACCAACTCTTTCACGTTTTGCAGCGCATGTCACTGCTGGTCGAGACGATGACAGAGCATGCAAAGATCGCAAACCACGAGGGAGCGCTTGATTTGTTGCCGTGAGCAAGTGCCCGTGCTTCATCACTCTTACATTTTTCGCTGCGATATTCGGCTCGAGTTTCCACTATCGCAGCTGACGTTCTCAGGAGGAGAAGCTCTCTCGCGTCCAATTCATGGCTGTTGCTAACCACAACATGCTTGAAACGATGCTATTATATGGAAAAGCTTTCAAAAGCTGTCTAGAACATTTTAGATGATAAAAATGGAAGAGGTATGTGAAAAATGAGCGCTTGTCTGCTATCGGTTCGGCTTCTAATTTTAACCGCTACAAACAGTCCCGCAGTTGTAGCAGATGCAAAAAACCAGCTGAAATAAGCTGATTCGCGCTCAAAATGAGGTTTTTACTGGATTATAAACAAAGTTATATTACTCCAAAAAGACCAAAATTCTGTAGAAGCAAAACTTTCATCGCAATCAGCTACAGCTTCTCGTATGGCAAGCCTTAAAAGCTGAAGAGCCGAGGCGCAAAAGTGCTGAATGTCTATCAAGCGCATGCGCACTTTTCAGTAACTCAGTCGACTAATGAAAGTTCTGCTTCCATTCAGAGTACATTGGAACGAGAGGTGATAGACAATTTCATTTCACTGCAACGCTTAATGTGAGTGGTCATGAGATTGTTACCAAGCGTGTTTTCACCTTCATACTGATACGACGTGACTGAAACAAGGTTTTTGAAGAGCTCGAGCCTGAGCAAAGTGCATGCTAGCAGGGGAAAAAGTCGAATATAGGTCCGAGAGCCAGGATAGCGTAATAATCCAAGCAAGTTCTGCTCCAGTAGAGCATGTCAAAGTTTTCGCTTCATCAATTTTTAATGTAAGTATTGGGGGAAAAGAAGCCTATGGGAGAATGCTTAATAGGCACATGGATGCGGAAACGTACCTATGACATCCCAGGGGCCGGGAACCACAGGTGCGGATCACCTGATTGTTCTCGCGCAGAATCCCGACCAAACAGACGGCGCCGTCGCAGGCCCCGTAGGGCACGCAGTGGTCATCGGTGCAGTAGCATTTGACCGTGGCCAGTGCGTAGCGGATGGCGCAGGCGAGCAGCAGGCACAGGGCGGCTAGTAGTCGCATAACCGCATCACTGACGTTGTCGCCGTGCTTCAGAAGGACACGACAAGCGCCGTCGGGGGGTGGAGTCGTGGCCGAGGGGAGGACCTGATTTGATGCCGGGGCGCCGCGAGTCAATGCCAGCGGACCGCCACCGCCGCCGCGGCGGCATCGATCGCCCCGCCTTCCACCTCTGCTAATTAGAAAATACGCTGGAGCGCTGCTTATAATTGCCCATCACTTGATCCAGACAAAGCACACACCTCATCGCTCAAAATCTCCCATCTAGGTGGGCTATCGTGGACCGGCTAAGATAAATCTGTCGTGGAGACGTCCATCCGTCTTCACATTGCTCGCAAAGACTGATGAATTGGCAGCGATTCATCAACTTGTCACATCTGAATCAATAGCTGCGTCATTCCCGGACTAGAGACTGAAGCACTCCAAGATAGCTGGAGAAAGACTCTGAGCTGCAAGTATTGCAACTTCTTTATTTCTTTTTACCAATAAATCAGACCGTCTGCAGCCACAAATCTTAAGCAAGGAACTCGCGAGCACTTCTTAAACGCTTTATTTCGGTAACTTGCAACAGAAATGGAGGATATCTTGAATTATGGCATAAAGAACAGAACGAATGGTCGACTCCGCCAATCTGCTGATGCCCAGCATAATGTTTCGATTTATCTTATTATGAAATTAAGAAAAGAGTGCAACCAAAGATGAACATTCCTTTAACATCAACACTATCTGTCATATTCTATGAAAACCAAGGAAAGGGCCAGAAAATTTGTTAAGCTTCACATCCGTAAATTAGAGCAACCGGATTAGGCCCACTTTCGTAATGCTCTGACTCAACTGGTGCTAGGTTGCCAAATTCATCATCACGAAACGGAAGCGTAATCACTTGAGAAGTACTTTGGCGCGAAAGGTACTTTGTATCTGTTGCACTTGTCTTCTTACAAATTGGCGACAAATTCAGATGACTGCTCGCGCGAGAAGGTCGTAAGTAGTGTTCGACGACAGAGTTGGACTTGGAGGATTGATAAAGAAATGCAAAAATTTGTGGAAGGGTTCAGTTGAACGTTTTATTGAGACAAATACTGCTGTAATAAATAGAGTTGGCAGAGTTGTATCAAAATTACCTCTCCATTTGATGTAAGGGTGCTCTGTTCATAAAAATCTCATAAGGGATGCGTGTTTAGTGGAGGTGACCATTTTAAATGTGATGTATACCATATTGAAGGGCATATAATGCTGAACTCAAACCTGCCTTCCCTATCTGCCGTTTATGGACGAGGAGTTCTGAGCGCTTATTGAAGCAAAAAATTGAATATGCAAGTAGGACAAAAATAGTTGTAATACTTTTTCTAGCTTTTCAAAGGAGCAGTGATGATCAAAAGCGCTTTATTCAAACAACGCTCTAAAATGAAAACACACTTCGTTGGATTATTTTAGATCTAGTAAGAATCTTTACAACTCATTTTATCCAGAATGCACATTCAATATTTCTTTCAAAAACGCCGATACAACATCCATAAACGCTCTGCGGATAAGGAAGTCAGGTTTGAAATCAGCGTTTTATGTCCTTTTGTATGATATACATCCCAAAAAGGCCACTTCGACCAAACAGTCTTCCCTTGTCAGAAGCACAAACATTATGTTTGAACATCCATTCGAAAAATGAATCAAGAATCTTTCTACGCCTTGGTAAAGAACGTAGTTTCTTCAGTGAGTGAATTCCACTCAAGTCACCTTGACAGCAATTAGCGGCTTCTTCGTACTCAACCATCGACAGAACTGAGTATCCTTCCTGGTGTTGAGTCAGTTAGTATTATGGATAGAGTCGATTTTTTACGATACATGTTAATTCTATCTCGTGAGTGAAATATACGATGCTCATTACAACGGAACACAACAAAACCCTCCCGTCCAAATTTTTTGCAATTTTCACAAAGTATGGCACATTTCATCTACTTGAGAACAAGGCCCTTTTGTAGACGTTGATTTGATATACCAAGAGATCTATTGCAGATTCAAATGATAACAATGAGGTCAGAAATTGACTAATTATTCTCTGCATACGCGGTTTCGGGGTAACAAGCAAACGGATGTGTGACTTCCTTGGGCTCGGCTGTATAAACCTGCATCAGCAGTCGCCAAGGATGTACCATGAAATGTCTCAAAAGAGAAAGAGCAAGAAAGACAATAGAAGTAAAGAATCTGTGCAGCGTGTTTGAATGATAACAATAACAAGCTAGAAGAATACTCATGGTAGTATGATTATTCGAAGTTGTTCCGCTCGGTAGGTCAGATGCCCGCAGAATATGTCAACATGCCAACCCCTGGCTTGTTGCAATCAGATGGGAGATGTATGGGATTCGCGTTTGGTGTGCAGTCAGTATCGGAACAATCTAATTCTTTGTGTGTTTAGAAACGACTAACGACTCCAGCGATGCACTGGTGGCATGAGAATGTAAGGATCAAAGAGTCACTGATCGTTACAATTACTCAGACAATTGCGGAATTCGGAAAAATGATTGACTGATGTTTGCATTCTGCCTGCAGCATTTCATATTGACCATCAGAGTTTGCGAGGCTTCTTTTGTTCAAAGAAAAGCAGAACCTCCAAAAAGAAATCAAAGAAAGGCAACAACAAGCGGTATCGGAAAAGTACGTCTTCAGTTTCTTAAATTTCGCAAGTGAGGGCGAAAATTCAACAACGCAAATTTCCGATAACCGCTAACCTCTCCCTTTGACGTCATAGTAATTGAATGTTTACGTGTGCACTGTAGCCAAATGGAAAGGCGCTTGATTGTACAGGGTGTCCCAAAAGTAAGTACACACTTTTCAATCGTTAATATCTCTCTTCCCATTATGTCTGTTTCGCCGATCAAGTGCCATTTTGTAGAGGATGCTTCAATTTAGATTTGCAGTATGGAGAGAATCACCGATCGCTCTTCGTTACTGTGGGATTACGGTAAGAACTGCCAGCATGTAGAAACATCGTGAAATATGCCAATGACAGAATTTTTTCAAAAAAATCCGAAAAATTGTGTACTAAGGTTTTCGCGCACGCTGATTCCAGTACACAACTTTCTATGAGTGTTTTTAGCTTTTTTGACGGTGTAATCACATTTCTGACAAATACGGGGATTCGGTTATTACGGTGTACCTGGGTAACTTTGGAAAGAAGTATCACAGTAAAGTACAAATCTCATATACGAAATCAGCGGCTTCTGTTACCATGATACAAGAGTTTTTGGCTTGTTTGGTCTTACTCCGAGGCAGAACATGGCTTTCATTGGCATAATATCCTTGTCGAAGTTCCTACAGTAATCCCACAGTAATGAAGAGCGATCGGTGATTCGATCACTACTGTAAATCTAAGTTGATGTCTCTTTTACAGATTGGTACTTGAGTGGCCAAAAAAGACCCATTGGGAAGAGAGATATTGACGATTGAAAAGTGTGTACTTACTTTTGGGACACCCTGTATATTGTCGTCCCGAAAATTCTGTCGTTTCAGTCTTGAAAATCTTTAACTTTTCGTTGACTCGACGGTTGCTTGTGATTCTATAAAGAATTATTCTTCCTCATTGTAAATGTGTCTTGTAATGCTTCTATTATGAACTAATTGCAGGGATTAAAATGCATAAAAATAAGACCGTTCAGGTTTTGGCCATTTTGAGTTAGGTCGCCAAAAATTCGAAGCGCTGCGGAAAATTCTGAAATTATCATTTCAAGTTTTATATCCTGTTTTGGCAACCAAAAAGAGTTTGTGGCGTTTGGAAGCTTCCACGAAAAGTTATGAGTTTCGAGTTTACAACAGATCACGCCCAATTTAATTGATCTGTCACCTTTTGAAAAATCATAACTTTTCGCAGGGCCATCCCAAATCCACAATTTTCGCTCAGTTGCAAAGAGTAGGCCATAGAACTTATGTATTGCCGATTTTAGATTTTTCCGCAGCGTTTCAAATTTGGCGAACTAACTCAAAATGATCAAAGCCTGAATGGCTTTCCATTCCCATTTTAATCTCTGCAATGAGTGTATAGTAGAAGCTCGTCAAGACGTGTTTGAAATGAGGAACACCCATATTTCTAATGAGCAGTGGCGTACCGAGGGGGGGGGGGGCGGGGGGGGGCGCGCGCCCCCCCCGAGAACGGGTCGCGAAATTTTTGAAAGTTACTTACATGCGTTATAAAAATGTGCAAATGACTTGTTTATTTTTGTAAACAATTAAAATAATTTTTAAAATTTTTTAGAAATTCAAATTAGCCTTATAAAAAATTTTTTTTCGGGGGCGTGGCTGACGCCACGCCCCCTTTTTCCAGATTTTAGGGGTTGGGGGCCCGCAGAATTGTTGAGAAGCCCCCCTAAAATTTTTTCGGAGTGCGTGGCTAACGCCACGCACCTTCAATTAAAAATTTTTTTTGCCGCGCCCCCCCCGAGCCGAAATCCTGGGTACGCCACTGCTAATGAGATTATTAAAAAAATTCATTTGTTAACGTAAATTTACAATTTTTCAAAAATGAAACGACATAACCTTCGGGACAGCCTATATATATTTTTAACCATACTTTTGATAAAAAATAGGGCGTCAAAAGTGAAGGTTGTTTGAATATCTGCTCCCTATAAAATGTGAAGGTTGTTTAGGAAAACAAAAAAGGAGAAAAGGGACGCAAAACAAATGGTAAAGGCAGATTAAACTTTAAAAACTGATAAAAACGCTGCAAATACTTGAAAACTTTTAATTTGGCGGTATTTCGAGTGGCAGGCATTCGCTAGGACCAGGCAAGTTAATTTTTTCTTTGTGAATGTTTTGAAAATAATCTTGTTCTGGAAGTGGTGTAATAGAGAAGTAGATAAACGAGAAAAGAATCAATTATAAAAACGTGAACTTTTCTCACTAAGTCGAAATGCACGTCAAAAATGATCCAGTTTTCAATGCGTCTTCTCAATTTCGTCTCCTTCTCATAGCTTCTGTCTCTGGCGACATTGTCAATTTGTTGTGCTCACAAACCTAAGCAAAATCCCTTCAAGAATTCAAGAGGTTGCTCACTAACTCCAATAAGGCTCCGAACAAAAACGCACTTTTGCCAGATATCTCACCACAGTCTAAGAAGTTAGCTCTGCGACATTCTACTTTATAAACGG